TGACCCCTCCACTGAGCACGCCCTTAACTCATGGTGAACAGATGGCCTGCCATTTTTTGAAGCCTGGGCTTTCCTGTGTAACTCTGTGTTGCAACAGCTTCTGCTCAAGTTAACAAGAAAAATTTCAGTGTTGTCTTTTCTGCCTCCAAGTTTCTCACAAATAGGGCATCTAAAATGAACGACATGGCACAGATGTTCTTCCGGTATATAGTACAGTGCCCCAATGGTCTGTGTGAGGAAAGCCAGAGGGCGTTCCCCTGGGAGACCTGCTCTTTCCTAGATTCATGAGCCGGAGCTGGATCCTGCCCAGCGACTTCTGGCTGATCCTTGAAACTACCGAGCTGTGTAAGGATCCTGGGTTCAGTCTTCCAGATTGACCCTGGGACAAGGTCACGAGGCAGCGCAGAGTCTTGGGTCCTATGTCGGTCCTGGAGTTGGACTTCGCCCTGGAGACATCACGACAGCCAGAGGTTGGTTGCAGAGCTGGAGTGGAGGATTTTAAGCCGAGAGTAATGAGGAGGAGCATTGTGAGGAGATGGCTGTTTGGAGGACTATGTTCCCTCTCTCTGACTCTGCTAATCACTCTGGCATTACTGTGATGACTGCTCCTGACCCCCTGCGGTGGTGGCTGTCACTTCATTTGTACTTGAGGGAGTGCAGACCTTTGACTGACTGACTCATCTTGTCAGACCTGTCCAGCAAACTCTGGGAAGGCAGAGACAGGAAAAGGGGGAGGGAGGAAAGAGAGAGGGCTGCTGTTTTAAAAGACTGCATATTTGCTGGTCCTGAGTTAAGGGCAGTGATGAAGAGTTAAGATTTGTATTCAGATGTGTGCGCCAGTTTTGGAAACCATTTTATATGTGTGTGTGTTAAAAGAAAGTCAGAGCACCCGGGAATACTGATGCTTGCTTGGCGCTAAGGGCGATGCAGAGCAACCCAAAACCAGTTCATCTTAAAGATTTCCTTACTCATAGTTGAGGCTGGAGATCCTTGAATAAGCATTCACCTTCAGGCTGCGGTTTTCATCTCCTGGTCACAATGTGACACACAGAGCAGGGAGGATTCTGGCCTTGCATCCTTCCCGCTGTAGACCCAGCCTGCAGGGTGTCTGGCTCTCACACACCTGTCCTCTGGCCGGGCTGAGGCGTTTCTGGGGTGGTTTTCCTGAGTCACAGTACTCCATGGTGTGCAGACATGCAGGGGCAGATAGGCCGATGTCCCGGAGTGGGGGGAGCTCATTAGCCCCGCTCTTTTTATATTTGTAGCAGTTCCTTTTAAAAAGAAACAGCTGTCTTTTTTCATTTCCTTTTTTTTCCTTTTCTCTTTTCACTGTGCTGGGGATCAGGCTCAGGGGCTTACACTCTTCACCACTAAGGTTCATCCCCAGCCCAGACAGCTTTCTTGAGGAATTTTTACGTACTATTTCAAGCGTACAACTTGGTACTTTCTGGCAGTCCTACCAACTGGCAGGACCCCTGCCATGTGTCCATTCTAGGACATTGTCTCCCTCCTGTAAGGCCCCTCTTGTACTCACAGTTAATCCCATCTCCCCTGACCTACTTTCTATCTCTATTTAATAATGTAGTTTTGATCAGAAAAGTAATAGTTTCCTATTTTAGTTAATTTGAGTAACTCCAAGAGAAATAATTGACTGAATGAAACCTAGACTTCCTCGGTTGACGTACCCAAGTGCCCTTTCTCCCTGTCACCTTCTGCTGTCCTTCCACTAGTGTGGCTCTGTCATTCACACCAGGGCCTTGGCCCATCATCTAGGCCTGTCTTTTTGCCATCTGGCAAGGCAGAATTCTCCTCTGTCCTTTAAAGGTCTGTGCCACATCTCCTGCTCAACACACATTTCCCTGGTGTTTGGACTAAAAGTAATTTTCTCTGAAATTCCCTGGTGTTCTCCTTAGGTTCGAGGAGTCTTCTTTGGTAGTTTACTTACTGAAATGGGCAGTTTGGTCCCCTGTGAGGCTGTGAGGTTCTGTCTTGCTGGCTTGTGTCCTAGGCCCCTGAACCTCTGCACCCTCCTGCCACCACCCAGGACTACATGTGCCTCCTGTGCAGCATTTGCCACAGTCGTAATTGGCCCTTGAATTTGTGTGTCATTGGCTGTGTCCGATTCACACAAGACAATGAGCCCTGTCTCTAGCACCCAGCCCGGGGCCAAGCCTTCTCACGGCTTTGGTGAATGCAGAATGAAAGCGGCTGTCTGAGAGCATGGGTGTCTAAGGGTTAGGTTTGCTTCTCCATTGTATTTGCTGCCAGTACCCAAGTTCTGATTTGAATTAATAAATACTCTCAGAAGAGATGTGTAAACCAAATTGAAATTAGTGTACTCTTCCCCTGCTGTAGAGAACCTCGTTTCTCCCACTTGTGCATACAGTCATACCTACACAACCCTTTGGAGGAAAACCTTCTAGGATGCTTCTTAGATATGGTCTTTAGCCTAGGAGCCCCTTGTACCCTTTGCCCAAACCCGCACACAGCTGCATTGTTCTGGGGCCTTGAGCCCAGGCTCACTCGAATCTGTGTTCCTTGTCCACGGGGACACGACCTTGGCTTCTGGGCAGTTAAGGGACAAACTGACCCGTGCCTGTGACTGACCACGGCTTTGGGGACCGTGTAGATGAATGGGGCAGCACCTCAAGGGCTGGTGGCTGGCCTTTCTCCCAAGCCTGGCTCAGTTGGCCTGACTGGTTAAACCCCGGTTCACTGTGTCTGGTGAGGATGCGCTGGTCTCTGCTCTCTGCTCTGTGCAGACACATGGGGTTTCTCAGAGCTTGTAATTCTCAGTGCGCATGTCTGTATTCATCCTCTGGTGGGAAGACATTGTGTTTTATCTGCCTTCATGCTAACAGCCAGTCGTTTGCTGTCAGTAATTTTGTGACGACTGAATTGGTGAATGTGTGTTTGTTGTTCATAATGAGATTGGTTTAAAGGTTTTGATAGGACTGCATTGGAAGCCTCTGCAGAGTGCATCTCTCAGGTACTGGAAGCTCAGAACAGTGCTCACTTGTCCTATGCTATTCCACCAGTGGCTTCGCTGGGCCTTGCCTTGAGCTCGGAGCTCTGGGCCATGTGGGATGCAGTGGAGGTGGACGCTACTTTTCAGATTGCACAGTGTGCGGTTGATAAGATGGATCAGGGACAGCCTGCCGAGTGCCTGACAAAATTGAGAAAAGGGGGAAATGGGGGTGTTGAGGGAGGGAGGGATGGCTTTCTGCTGGAGAGATTGGGCTGCTTTATGGAGAAGGTGGCGTTGGAGTAACTCCTGTGGGTGGGGGCTTGGGACTGTGAAGATGAGGGAGCGCATTTCAGCTCGGGCTAGGCTGGGAACAAGCATCGAATCAGGGGTGCAGAGTTCAGTAAGCAGAAGGTGAAGATGAAAGGTAGCCAATAAGATTGGACTGTGAAGGTCCTAATGCAGGAGCCAGAAATCCCAGGGTTTGTTGTTGAGTGTGGCAGGATTGGGGCAGCAGAATGTGGGAGTGGGAGCACCACTGCCTCTGTCCAGAGAAGGGGCAGGGAGACCCTGTTGAGGCCCAGGATGTGCGAGCAGCATGGAGGGGATGTTGTGGAAGGGGGTGGAAGATGCAGAAGACGTGGCAGTCACTTGAGTAGGGCGAGGTGTGTCTTTGAGGTGCAGAGCAGGTGTCCAGGCAGTGGGTTGTGAAGAGGACATCAGGGGATATCCACAGGGAGGAGGATGGTGAGGGATGGTGGCAGGGAGGAGGAGGACAGAGAGCGACAGCCACAGGGGCAGGGTGCCAGGAGCTGCGTGGGCAGAGCTATGCCCAGCGGGTGTCTGCCTGCAGGGCAGGGAAATGTGGGACAAGAGGTCAGTGGCTTTGCAGAGACACAGGTTCTGCCAAAGCTCCCTCCTCCCAGGTCACAGTGGAAGGCCAGGTGTGCTTCCTTGTGGAGGTTAGTCACGGTCAGGCCCATGATTTGTCACCGGTTCCTTTCTGTCATCTGCAGACCTCACCTTCAGCCAGGCCTTCAGTGTTTAAGGTTTAACTCTGAGGGCCGATCCCTCTGAGTCGAAGCGGATGGCACGGTGTCTTGGAGGAGTGCCAGGGGACATAGGCAATGTTGAGCTGTTTGTCCTGAGGCAGACATTACTGGAAAACCCATTTCTGCAAAGGCAGTCATTCGTAGGTCACTTACTTGGCAGGATCAGCTGTGCTGCAGGTGTCACCACACTTTTCGATGGTATTTTTTGAGTGTGGTTTTTGTCTCTGGAAGTTTCGTGTGCTGAGCTGTGTCTGAAATCACCTCCCGTACTGCCTTAAAAATGGTGCCCAGACTGAGGCTTACTTACAGTAATGATGCCAAAAATAAGTTTTCTCTGCTCAAGGGTGAGAGTGAGGGGCAGTTCCGGAGCCCTCCCTCCTGTCCTGCTTTGGGCTGTGGTTGGGCACAGCAAGGAGTCTGGAGCTCATTTTTCACCTAGGGGATCTGTGGGCACTGGGACCCAGGCCCGGGCCTGTGCCTGCAGCTTCCTCCTGGCTAGGGCCTTGCAGCTTCCAGTTTGGTCACTTTTGATCTGCCAGTGCCACCCCTTGCTGCCCCCCGTGTGCCCTTCCGTCTCCATGTTGGGCACCTCTTGTGGGGATCGAAGTCTGGGTCCCTATAGCTCAGCAGGGCTGTGGCAGGGAGGGGAGTAGGAAGCAGATGTTTTCTTGAAAGAGGTTCTGTCATTGATTGTTCTCAGATATTTTTTATCCATTGCAGTGATTATCTTTTTACAAACTTCCTAGCTTAACAGTATAAGATTGTTACTGTGGAAACTACATATCTAGCACCTTCAGCAGCTACCTACCATTTGTGAAATGAAATTGCAGGGAAGAATGTGGGGCTGAGCGAGGCTGCTTTGTTGTGCCAGCCAGGTTTTAAGTGAAGGTTAATCATTACCAAATGTCCTCTCTCACACCCTTGCTACCCTTACTTTAGATTCAAAAGGTAATTAAAGATTTCTTCCTTTTTTTGTTTTTTAGATTCAGAATATGAACAACATAATCTCCTTCCCTTTGGACAGTTTGCTGAAAGGTGACCTGAAAGGAGTCAAAGGGGTATGACACTGGAATCCTGGTCGCGGGTATTTCTTGTCACCCGGAGTCACAGCCCTGCCAGCCCTGCAGTGGCCACCACACGAGTATATCCTTCCTGGGGCAGTGGGAGGGCTCTGCCCTCTCTGTTTCCTTTGGTTTGCATTTTGGCACCACCTTTGGCACAAATGGTGATGACTTTTGGCCTTTTTGGTTGTGCTCTTGGGGCTGTGAACATCCTAAGGGGAGAGGCAGAGGGGAAGGAAGACTAAACCTTCTGGGCCCACGGCTGAGCAGGGTTTCCAGCCTCATGTCACTGACTGACAGGAGAAAGGGTCCTGGCAAGAATGATTTTCATCCTGGGACGGTCGCAGTGTCAGGCTCCTGGGTGTTGGCTGTTCTGGGTATGCCTGGCCTTGCAGGAGCACACAGGCTGGGACTGCAACACAGTTAGGGGCCAGGAGCAGGCAGGACCGGAGGGAGTCTCATCTGGGCACATCTGGAAGCCCCACCTGGCCCATCTTGGGACCTCTGCCCAGACCGTTCAGTGTCTGCTAATAGAGCGTGCCAGGAGAGAGCTGTTAGGACTCCAAGGAGCATTGCCCAGTCTCCCCGGGGAAAGACAAAGACGCAGAACAATCAGCCAGAAACCCAGCGGGATGGGTGTGGCGCAGAGGTGTGGCAGGCCCAGAGCAGATGCATGGCCTGCACTTCACACCAGGCTGTGGGGATGGAGGAGCAGGACAGCACTGGGCAGGTTGAAGAGCCAAAATAAAAAAGGAAGAGGGCGTCACACTTCCGGAAGAACCCTGTTGAAGGGAGAGTGACTGTGTGGGAACCAGTGATAGGGTTTCAAGTGGCTCTGTAATTTTTGGAGCCAGGCATTATGAGAGAGTTTGAAACCCTACATGCCAGACAGAAGAGGGCAGGCAAAAAGCCTAGGAGATTGTGGTTGACTCTTAGATTCTGACGTTGGGTTCAAGTCAGAGTGTAGGCATCAAGGAGATCCATTCAGAGTTCCTTTCATGTAGAGAGACGAACTGAAACTTTTGCAGGGTAGAGGTGACAAGACAATTTGGGAGTAGTATTATAACTGGTGGAGGATCACGGTGAGTTTGAGTCTGGCCTGGGCTACATAGTGAGTTCAAGGCCAGCCTGAGCTGCATAATGAGACCCTGTGTCAAACAAACAAACAAACTAATCCAAAAAAAGAGAGAAAGAAAGGAAGAAAAAAAGGCTACCACTCATCTAAGTTAAAGCCTATACATCATTTATTACACAAGTTAATGGCCCATTCAAGACCAGTCTCGGGATAAGGAAGTTTATCTTGCATAGAAGTTAATGATTAGTCCTGCTTAATTGCTGCCTTTCTGTTTACAGGATTTGAAAAAGCCCTTTGATAAAGCTTGGAAGGACTATGAAACAAAAATGTGAGTGTTTTCATTTTTTAACTGAGTGTCGGTACAGTAATTTGAGATTTCAACTTTAAATCAAGCTTTGATTGCATAGGGATTGTATGAGTAAATCTTAATCCAGGGAAGCATTTACATAAAGCCATGTCACAGTGGTTTCTGTGAGGACAGGTGCTTTTGTACCCGTGGCTATGTTCAAAGATGATAGCTTCTTTCTGTGGGTTCCTTCGTTGTCCCTTTTTCTTTGGTGTCGTAACGTTTATAGAATGTAATGTTCAGGAAAGTTCATGAAAGGAAGTTGTATTAGTTACTTTCTTCATTGGTGAAACACAGTACCCGACACTCACAGCTTAAAGGAGGAGAGGTTTATTTTGGCTCTCAGTTTGCAGAGGTTTCAGTCCATGGTCAGTTGGGTCCAAGGCAGGATGGCCTGGTGTAGGAGAGCGGCCCACAGCATGGGAGACAGGAAAGGGGGGGGAGAGAAAAAGAGAGAGAAAGAGGGGGAGAGACAGATAGAGATAAACCTCTCCAGCCCTGCCCCAGTTCCCTCCTCCTCTGGCTCCACCTCCCAGCATCACATTTAGCCATAAACTCATCAGTGGACTAATTCCCTGATCCACAATCCAGTCTCCTCCCCACAGCCCACCCCTGAGTGCAGGAGGCTCTTGTGGGAGGCATGTAGATATAAACCATAACAGAAGTGAAGGCCGATTAGTCTGAGGCGGTGTTCTTTCCTTTCTTGTTTAAACACTTTCTCCATTTTATTACCATTCATGAGAGCAGTGTTGTCTTCAGACTTTTGTCTTCCTGGTGATCTGTGAAAACTGTCTGCTTTTAGCTTTGGGCTTGTCTTTCTCTGAAATATCAACTCCCTTGGTTTTAGGAAGATCTTGCAACACCTGTCTGATGGCTTCATGTGCCAGACCAAGCACATGAAGAGTGGGTGTAGTGGACTCTCACATGTGGACGAGCCCACTCCTGGCTAGCTGGAGGCCATTATGCTAACATTTCCCTGCACAGTTTCTCATCCAGGGGGTGAGGATCAGACTAGTGAGAACTGAACTAGTGGTACTGGGATTAATTAAGGCTTTCAGTTATTTTAAATGCTGTTAGAACAGAAAGTATTCTTAAATGGCTGGAGTTTGCTCTGTGCCTTGGGGATTGGAGACTTTCTGAATGGAAATAGAAACTCTCGTTTGAAGCCATCTGGTAAGGAGAAAGGTGTTAGGAAGGAGGTCATTTGTGATGACTAAATGTTTAACTGGCTCTTTAAAAACCAGCTTTGGGCATCTTTTCAGTAGGAAAGGGTCACGAAGCTCAAGCCAATGCGAACTGAACCTTTGGTACTCATTCTGTCCATGGCACAGTCTACACTGAGGGATGCTTGGACTGCAGCATAGCATTTTGTGGGTGGTGTGCAGGTCTGTGTTGGCACAGGGTGGGGTGTTAAGCCCAGGGACCTTTCATATCCATTGTCTGTGCCTAGCATTCCTGCCTCACAGATGGGAAACCAAGACCCAGTGGGGTCCGCTGGTCCCTCAGAATGAGGGTCTTTAGGGGACACCATGAAGGCAGCTCTGAGAAGGAAGTTTATTGCTGTGAGTGCCCACATTAGAAAAATAGCACAATCCCAAATAAATAACCCAATGATTCACCTCATGGTCCTAGAAGAACGAGAACAATCCAAGTCCAAAACTAATAGAAGGAAAAATTTTTTAAAAATATACAAAGGATCAGTGAGTCACAGAGTTGGTTCTTTGAAAGGATAAACAAGACTAATAAACCCTTAGCCAAACCTACCTCAAAAGGAGAGAAAAAAGCCAGTACTAATACAATTAGAAATGAGAAGGGTGGAAGTGCCACAGAAACTGCCAAAATCTGGAAGAGTATAAGAAACTACTTTGAAATCTTATGTTCTGGTAAATCAGAGAACCCCCTAGACATATATGAATTACCAAAATTGAGCCAAGAAGATACAAAAACTCCGATTAGACCAATAACAGACAATGAAATAGAGGCAGTGATGAAAACTACCAACTAAGAAAAGCCAGGACCTGGTGGATTCCCTGCAGAATTCCACCATACTTCAGGGAAGATGTTACACCAGTGGTTTTCAAGCTCTTTTGTGAAATCGAAAGGCAAGGAGCACTGCCAGTCTCATTCCCGGAGTCGCCTCTGCCACTGTGCACGTCTCCCTCCAGAGAGAGTCCATAGTCATGCCTTCCTGAATGCATGGCACACGTTGCAGCCTGGCCTGGGGTGTCTGGGGACTGTGCAGGGTACAGTGCTGTACCAGGGGCCTCATGATCTTCCTTGCTCCCCTGTCCCCCACCTAGAACCAAAATAGAAAAGGAGAAGAAGGAGCACGCCAAGCTCCACGGGATGATTCGCACTGAAATAAGTGGAGCTGAAATCGCAGAGGAGATGGAGAAGGAGAGGCGCTTGTTCCAGCTCCAGATGTGCGAGGTAAGGCTTGGGGCAAGGAGGGCTCCAGGTGGTGGCTGGCAGTGTGTCCTGTGTCACCCAGCGCGATCCCCCTGGGGTCAGACCCATGGCCTCAGAGAACACACCCACCCGGCTTCTGTGGACAGTTTGTTTTGCTAGGGGAGACTTGGTTCTTCTGGAAGATGGAATTGGGTTCATCTAACACCAGCCTTTTTTTTTTTTTCTTTTTAATACAATTTGCAGTACATATTGATCACGTTCCTCATGGGGAGTTGGCACGTGTACATAACACAGCTTAATTCTTTTTATGTCCCCTTCCTGTCTTGCCTCTCCTTCTTGATCCCTTTCCCATTTGCAAAAGGTCTGACTTCCTGTTTCCTGTTATCTCTTTTATTTCACTCTGTATTTATATTTGGGGCTTCTCGTCTAAGAGAAACCATACAATATTTAAGCTTGAGTTAAATATTCACTTACTGCACTTAACATTACGGTCCCAAGATGCATCAATTTTCTTACCAGTGACTCATTTATCCTTCTTTGTGGCAGAGTAGTATTCCTTTTCTTTATCTCTTCATCTGTTGATGGACATACAGACTGCTTCCAAGATGTGGTTATTACAGGTTGTGCTTCTGTATACATGGGTGTGCATGCATATATGCTTACAATTCAGTTGCAACCAGAATCATGGAAATAATTAAATTTGTGAACCAAGGTACACTGTACTCACCACTTAGGTGTTTGTAATGAGGTCTGGGCTCCATTGCACCAGTGAAGTCAGAGACAGAGGAGGGAGGAGAGGAATCAGCTGGGAAAATGCACCGTGCCCAGGTCACCATCTGCGCCAGGGAGGAACACATCTCCAGACTCCATCAGCTCCCTGCCAGGGTCCTGGGAGGCTCCTGTCTCCTGTCCAAGGCCTCAGCCTTGTTGGGCGAAGGGGACACAGCAAGATGGACACAGGCACATTCCTCAGGCTCAGAGACTGCACCGTCATGAAGGCTGTTCTCAAAGCCTTCTTCTTCTTTTCTTTTCTTTGGTACCGGGGATCGAACTCGGGTCCTTGGGCTTGCACAGCAGGCAGCGAAACCACTGAGCTAAGTCCTCAGCCCTCAAAGCCTTCTTACTTCTGTGCCTGCTGTGGAGGTGCACGGCATTGCTCACTACCTCTCTTGGGGTCTGCTCCCCAGCTGCACCAGCAAAGCTCTGGGTGCTGGGTGGCATTTGTCCTTCCCACAGCAATGCACCTTAGCAAAGAAGGCCACGGTCACTCTTATCTATTTAATCTTTGTAACTTGTATGATTATCCCTTAGAACAAGTTCCTGTAAATAGGATATCTGGGTCAAAGGGTACCTGCCTTTTACAGATTGGTACATTGTCAAAGATTTTATTAACAAATATATCATTTTGATTTATTGCCAGACATTCACTTATCAGTGAAAAATACTAAAAAGGAGGGAGAAGAGGACATCTGGGCAGTTGTTATTAAAGGAGGGGGTGGCTTATGGCTTCATGGCAGCTTCCTGTCGCCTTTATTGGGCTGCAGGCCGACCTACAGGAGGACTAGACATGGGGTCATCCCATGTGACAGCTGGGAGACAGCATTCCAGGGCATTGCGTCCCGGATGTGATGTTTTCAGTTTAGTACCTCCTACTGAGGAGGGGATAGGGAATCTATGGGCTTCTCTATCTGTAAGCCTGTATTTCTTTTTCTTTTTTTGGTACCAGGGATCGAACTCAGGTCCTTGCGCTTGGGAGGCAGGCGGTGGAACGACTGAGCTAAATCCCTGGCCCAAGCCTGTATTTCTTGATGCTAGCTTTATAGATCACTGGGCCTTCCTGCTGTCTCCGTGGTTTTTGATGAATTCTCCAAGTTAGAAATGGCTCTAACTCCTTTCATTTTAAAACTTGCCTTTTTAACAGCCATGTTTGGGGGAAGTATCTTGGGGTTGGCAGTGTGGTGACAGGAGTCTCTGCTAGAGGATGTTAACAGAGTTCTGGATGATGACCTGTCTCATTGAAGGGAGCTAAGCCAGAAGTGTGGGGAGATGGGTGGAAGCCCCACTCTTCGTGCAGCTAGAGCAGAGCTCTTCCGCAGTCTAGGATAGAATGTCCTATTAGTAGGGCTTCTTGGCTCTCAAACATTTAATTATCTGATCAGCAGATAACTTGGTACCTAACTGAAAGAAGCATTTAGTTCTGACTCGCAGAAAGCATCAGGTGTCTGCCATGAGCTCTGCCCATAGTAGAAGACATCAAAGAAGTAGAAGAAATAATCTGTCTTCAGAAACTCTTGCAAAGCTCACACTCTGCTCATGCCTGTGACAGTTCCTTCTTTCTTTGTTTCTTAACAGTATCTGCTGAAGGTGGATGAAATCAAGACTAAAAAAGGAGTGGATTTACTTCAGAATCTGATCAAATACTTCCATGCCCAGTGCAAGTAAGTCCTTTTCTCCTTTTGAATGTTTCTCAGCATGTAGCAGCATTGTAGTGAGAAAAAACACTTGCTTAGAAATATGTTGAAAGAGGAATGCAGGGCCAGTACATGCTACACAGATGAACCTTGAGATCACGCTAACTCAAGGGACCCAGATGCAAAGGCCAAGTGCCGTACAATTCTCTTTACTTATAGGAATAAGCACACTCTCAGGCTATTCTCTCATGCAGGGCTCCTCCCTGTGCCAGGCCCTGTTCAGGCATCTGGTGCCCCAAGGAAGCAGAGAAGAGGCTTCGATTGTTGAGGCTGCAGGTTCCCAGGGAGGGCCAGGATGAGGCAGATCATAAATGGAGCCCTGAAAGGCTCAGCCTCGTGGTGAGGGGAGAGAGGCGTGGAGGCCCCTTGGGAAGTTCTGTGTGACGAGAAGGAGCCAGATGGGACCAGAGAGGGTGCTAGCGGTCACCTAGGGGCCTGTCCCGTAAAGGCCGGGCCGGTGGTCTGGACTGGCCCAGAGGGTTGGGAGAGGTGGGTGAATCGCATGCTTGGTCTCCTGGAGGTCAGATAGCCACGCCTGTCTACTTACCTCCCTGCCCCTCTACAGGCTGAGCCCCGGCTGCTGTGCCTTTCCCTGGAGTGTCATGCTGCGTCCGTGCCCTCCCCAGCCTCTGCTCTCCCCGGGGCCAAGCTCCTGAGGTGGCTCTTGGCTTTAATCACTTTTGGATGTGCGCATTTGCAGTGTGTAACAGTGGCATTCCTGGTGCGGAGTCCGTGCACGGACATGGCGCATCTTAGTTCTTTTCATGTCCCCTTCCCCCTTCCCCCTTCCTCCCCCCTCCCCCCTCCATCTCCTGGTCTCCTTCCTACTTGCAAAAGACCCATCTCCCTGTTTCCTATTGTTTTATCTTTCATTTTTGCTCTCTATTTATATTTGGATTTCTTTTTTTTTTTTTTTTTTGGATTTCTTGTATAAGAGAAGCCATGTGATCCTGCTTTACAGCCCTGAGGTCATTCTTGTTCCCCTGTGGGATTGCTTATCCTCTGCGCTGCCCCAGCACCCTCCGTGTTTCTCTCAGCTTCCTCCAGGTTGGGCTCTGTCCCCCTTGAGGTGGGGCTGTGGTGTTTATTTATTTTCTTTTTTTCTTCTGGTACAGGGGATCAAACTCAAGACCTTGTGCTTACGAGGCAGGCAGTGGCACCACTGAGCTAAATCCCCGCCCCATTTATTTATTTTCCATCTCCAGGTGGGGTACAGATACCTGGCATGGATGTGCTGTGGTGACCACACTGTTGCCTCTGCTGTGGAAAGTGGCACCACTGAGCTAAATCCCCGCCCCATTTATTTATTTTCCATCTCCAGGTGGGGTACAGATACCTGGCATGGATGTGCTGTGGTGGCCACACTGTTGCCTCTACTGTGGAATTTGGAGTGCAGCTTGGCAGTGACACCGTACTTCTGATGCTTTCCTTGGGGACAGACAGCAAAGGCGCATGGGTGCCGTGGCTCATCCTAAGTTAGAGGAGGGCCAGACTGCAAAGGGCTGGGCAAAAGCATTTTCCAGATGAGCTCTTTGACAGACTCAAAATCCTGACGGTGACATGCGGATCACCTCCTCAGTTCTCCAAGTAACCTGACCGGAGGCAGTTTAGGAAGTGGGTTGCTTCCTTGCTGATACTGTATTTTTAGCAAGAAGCTATTCTAAGATTTCCTTTTTCTTCTTTATTTTGCCCAAACGGTCAGTTGGGTAGCAACAAACAGACCTCTTGCGGAAAAGTGAACTAGTTGGCCTTTTATGGGCATGAGTTTGGTAACCTTTTATAATGTGAATCTTCCATTACTTCCTTCTCTGATGAGCGAGGCAAGGAGTGTGTGTGTGTGTGTGTGTGTGTGTGTGTGTGTGTGTGTGTGTGACTGCATGTGTGACTGCATGCTCCTCGGATCAATCCAGCAGTTCTGTCTCTTTTAATTCATATTTCAGGGATCAGACCTGGAGCCCGAGAGCCCAGGAGCTTGGGTCCATGCTTGTGCCTTGAGTGTGGGGGTCCCGCCCATCCCTTCCCTAGCACTCCCTGTCGCTGCTTCTCAGCCCTCTACCAGCTGTGCCCAAAGCTTGTGCCCTACCACCCTGTCCTCTGGGAGTCACTAGCTCCTCGGAATCACGTTTGGGAAACCCGTAGAAGTACTGAGGTGGGCATGATTTTGCTTTTTATGCCCTTTTTGTTTTTACTTGTGTTTGGGAAGGATATGTCATGTTCTTTATGTTTTACTTCTAAATTTACAAAAAAGAATTTGCATCTTTATCTCATTCCTTGGAACATCCTGAAGATGTCTTTTAGCTTGTGCTGGTCAGAGGGAGGAAGTCACTCTACAGGGGAGCCGAGAGACAGGGCTGCCTCTCAGCAGTGGCTGTGAACCAGGGCGGTCCTATTCCAAAAAGGGGGAAGGCCCTGGAGTTGCTTTGCACTTTAAGCACAAGCCTGCCAAGGCCCACAGTGCCAGTGTCATTCTCTGGACCTGGGGTGCTGAGTCGGTGGGACTTGGGTCCAGAAGCCCTGGGAAGGATGCTCCTGTGTGAGGGCTGTGGGGAGAGGGGATGGGCACATGCGGACCCTCGGCAGACTTGGAGTGTTGTGATCCATGAAGCTGGGAGGGGGGCGTGCAGACAGACACCCTGCTGTGGGGTGCCAAGGAGGGCTGGTGACTGCATGTAAGCGGGTGCATTTCCACAGCTTGAAAATGTAGTTGAGTCAGGCGTGGTGGCGCACACCTGTAATCCCAGCACTTGGGAGGCTGAGGCAGGAGGATTGCCATGAGTTTGAGGCCAGCCTGGAATACATAGTGAGACCCTGTCTCAAAAGAAAAGAAAGAAAAAAGAATCTGGTCGATCGATCCCCGGTACCAAAAAAAAAAAAAAAGAATCTGGTCGGGCAGGCTAGAAAATATTTAATAGGAGAAACATTTGATTTGATAATGTTGATGATAAATGTTTTTTGATGGAAGGTTGGGAAATGTTAAAGGGCTCAAATGAGGAACATGTTGCTGGGCCCTTGTGTTTAGGAATGTGACAGTGACCAACAGTGGTCCACAAAGCAGCCCTTGGGCTCCTTCTCCTGGAACCTATCCTTAGTGCCAGGCCTGAGTGATTGGGTGACATCGCATGCCCCAGGAGGAAGGCACAGAAGGTTTATGCATCCGAGAGAAGAGGTTTTCCAGTAGATGGGGGGGCATCCACTTCGCAAACTCAGATTTATGTCTTTCTCCCTCTCACACTGTCTGTTGCCATGCTGGAAGTGACGTCTGTGACAAGAGATGCATCCCTGAGCCCTGGACGCCAGCCCAGGCCCTCTCCCACCACAGGGAGTCACAGCCACGAGCCTGTCCCCGCTCCACAGGGCCACCTCAGGTTTATCTGCTGTGGTCTTTGTCCTGCTCCCAAGTGTAGCACTCTGCAGCGATCCACTCTCTCCCTCTCTTCTTTTCCTTCCTGCCTATTTTACATGAATTTGAAGCGATTTGAGGAAATAGTTACATAAAGAAAAGCTGTATCCGACAGAAGGGAACAGTTCTGTTCTCATTCCTGTGATGCTGCAGTTCTTCCACATTTCCTCTCCATGTAGAAGGGGCATCTGCTCCGTGCCGCCCCATTGCTGGGGAGAGAAGGTGCAGAGGTGGCATTGTGCCAACAGACAGCTGGATAGATCACACTGACACTCGGGCACAATTGCTGTGCTGGAAGAAAGGTCAGTTAGGTGAGATGAGGGTAGGGGATGTGCAATAAAGAACTGAGCCAGGAGAGGACCTTCCCCCTGCCCAGCTGAGTCCTGGCTGCACTGTTTTCTCGGCCTGTGCACGACACACTGATGTGGGAAGTCCCATGGGGCCACTGCTGGCTTCAAAAGAAAAAAATCCAACACAAACACATTTGAAACTGGCCTCAGATCACATTTTGAAACTGGTTTCTGTGGTGTCCAGGGGATAGAATTGGCAACTCCTGTGACTGCCTCCTTTCCTGCCTGAGCCAGACACTGTGGATCCTGACCCTTGCCTCCTGGAACTTCAGGTGTGATGGGTAAAGTGTGTGTTGAGTAACCACACTCATGGATACATAGTGGGAAAGACTTTGGAGCAAAGGACAAAACACACCAGGGAGAACTCTTTTTTTTTTTTTTTGAGACAGGGTCTCACTATGTAGTCCAACCTGACCTTGAACTCACTATGTAGCCCGGGTTGGGCTCAAATTTGCAGCAATCCTCCTGCCTCAGCCTCTCGAGTGCTGGGATTACAGGTGTGCACCACCACTCCTGACTCGAGGAGCACTCTTTTAAGGTGGGGAGTTAAGGAAGGCCTCACAAAAGAGGCAGTATTTACCTTCAAATTTGAAGAATGAGCAGGGACAGCCAAGTGAAAGGGACATACTGCAGGAGAGTCCTGGAGAGAGGAACAGCAGCGTGTGCAGAATCGGGGCTGGAGCAGGAGGAATTGGTACCCAGGGAGAGATGGAGAAAGATGACCCTGTTTGGAACGGTATGGGTCAGGGCTGAATCCCATGGGCAGGCCAGGCCTGTCAGCTTCATCCAGAGCCCACGAGGACACCTTTCCTGCTCCCTGTCTGGCTGTCGCTGCAGAAGATTCGTCCAAGCTCCCTTGTATTTCTTGACTCGTTTTTCATACATGACCTCACTCATTGGGTTCTGGGCTTTAAAAAAAACAAGAGAGAGACTCCTTTTGATACTTAACCTTACGTTCTCCAACCACGCTTTCTTCTTCTGCAGATGGAGCAAGGCCATTTATGTGCATTGAAGCTGCCTGGCTTTTTCTGCATTCTTTGTCTTCTGCACTTAGCCATTGCCTGTTGCAGACAATTCTCCAGTGTCTTATTCTTGTTTGCATCCTATTCTTCCATTTGGCCACTCAGCTGACTCCCAAATCAAAGCCCTTCTTGCCATTATAGAATCCTCTATTTCCCATTATAAAAGGGAAATTTAGGTTTTATTTTATGTATGTCAAGAGAAATCACAAACACTCAGGTTTGTTACAGTTCCTTTTCACTTCTAATTTTGAGTGTCGTTTCATTCTTCATTTGCTTTTTAAGTTTCTGTTCATGCAGACTTTGTCCCTGGGTATGGCAGAATGACCACAGTCACTTCCCTTGAAAGCTTTTCTCCATCTAACAGAATTATGTTCTCCTTTATATAAAGCACATTGTTTCTTCTCGTCCCCTAGCTTTTTCCAGGATGGTCTGAAAGCAGTGGAAAGCCTCAAACCTTCCATCGAGATGCTGTCCACCGACCTTCACACGGTGAGTAGCTCCCCTCTGTGGGGGTTGAGCCGTGCTTAGGTGAACTGCATTTTCCCTAAGTTTGCAGGCTCTGCGGCCCAGAAAGGAAGAGCCCCATTGTGCCTGGCAGAGGTGGCATTCCGTCCTCTGCTGTGGCTGGAGGGAGGGGTGACCACAAGGGAAGGCAGCTGCCACAGACTTGTGGATGGAGGTGCCCTGAGAACACCACCAACCTCCTGGTGCCACAGGCTGACTTTTCTCTGCTTTGTTTGCTTAAAGATCAAGCAGGCCCAGGATGAAGAAAGAAAGCAGCTGATACAGCTTCGAGATATTTTGAAGTCGTCAGTACAGGTTGAGCAGAAAGAGGTGAGGGGATTTAATTTTGACAGAGCACCATTTTAGCTGGGCATGGTGGCACACGTCAGTAAATCTCAGCTTCTGAGGAGGCTGAGACAGGGAGATCACAAGTTTAAGCCCAGCCTGTGCAACTTAGTGACTTCACAAGAACTTGTCTTATAATAAAAAAGGCCTGGGGATGTAGCTTAGGGTGAAGGCGCTGGGTTTAATCCCCAGTTCCCTGCATCTCAGAGGTTTGCCCCGAGCCCTGAGTCCAGGTCTCGCAGGGCTCCCTGTGCATGTGGACCCTGCTACACAAGTAGTGCTTGGTGTCTTTCACATCGTCCACACCACTTAGGCCTTTTGTTCTGTCCTCCGACCTCTGGTCCACCTGCCCTGATGTGTGTGGACCCTGCCTGTTGGGGTGGGCCCAGAACAGGGGACCTTCGGGCTCCCTCTCTCCTGGCCACTGTATGTAGGAGATGTGAGGCATTAGCCTTTGTCTCAGCTGCACCCCACGAGCAGATACCTGTGGCTTCCTTCACACTGTCTCCTCCATGTAGTGATGTCTTTGTGTGCTCACACACTGACAGTTTTTTTTTGAGGGGGACTCATAAAAAAAACCACTAAATGGTACATTTTAAGGGTAATTTTATGATGTGTTTGCTATAATGTGGGTATTGTAATGTGAATTTTTCCTTCCCTTGAAACAAAGTCTCACTATTTTGCCCTAGACTGGGCTCAAAATGATCCTCCTGACTCAGCCTCTTGAGTGGCTGGGATAAAATGTGATGTTAACATAAATCCACTTCCTTGATACTAAGAGAATGTGTCTAAATGTTACCTGCTAGATTTTAGATAAATGGCTATTGAACTACTTAACATAAAGTTCACTGTTGGCAGTTTGTCATAAGTTCTTGTACTATAACTGAATACTTTTTTTCTCCTAAATGCATTTACCTTTTGTGACCGAAGTCTAGGAGAGTAAGTAGTTCAGTTTTTTTAATAAATTGAAGAATTTTGCATGCTTTGTTCATGAACTTCAAAAATATGGTTTTTTTCCCTTTGTATAAGTTAATGGCTAGTAGCACTTAGATTTCAGCCCTTCTTTTAGTTGTAGTAGACTTTACTAAAGGCCACAGAGCTTGAAGGCACAAAGGGGAGCTTTCAGGGTTTGTACTTGCATTGTCGCTGTGTTGTGAGGATGCGCGGCTTATTCCCTGCCTCTGTTGGGCTGGATTCTGAGCATTGTTTTAGCCCCTTGGCAGCTGCCTTTCTGGCCCCTAGCTCCCCCACTCCGGGTCCAGCCAGGACCCCTTCTCCTCTGGCTTTTCGTCATGGTAGGTGGTTAGATTGACATCTTGGCCATGGGACGGTCACCTGCAGCTTGATCGGGTGTTTATTCAGGCTATTGCTGGGTCACCTAGAGGTCCTTGAGGATGCCGAAGGGTGATAGCAGGTTCAATTTATGTTAGGGTTTCTCTTTTCGCCGGGGATTTAGCTCAGTGGTACTGCTGCCTGCCTCGCAAGAGCAAGGTCCTGAGTTCGATCCCGGTACCCCCCAAAAATGTTTCTCTTTTCTGTGAATTTTAGATTTCGCGCGATAGCTTCAGATTTTTCTGTATGTTTTGATTGATTCAAGAGATGCTTGGTCTGGGTCTGGTGTGATGGGGCATGACTGTAATCCCAGCACTTAGAAGGCTGAGGCAGGAGAATCACCGAGAGAGTTCAAGGCTAGCCTGGGCTATATATATAGGGGCTATGTATTGGGCTATATAGCAAGACTCTGTCTCTAAAATACAAACAAAAAAGAAATGCTTGGTCTAAAAAGGAAAAAACAGAATCCCACCTGTCTTCCCATGTAGCCTAGCCTTGTTCTGCTCTGAGACCTGCAGATGACTGCCCCAGTGTGTGTGGCATGAACACACCGCAGTGTTGGTGTGCAACTGTGCCTGGATTTTGTGCAGTGGCTTTCTTCTCCCTAAGTCAAGAGACATAGTTCTGGTTGTGCGGTCTGCCTTTTGACAGACTGGTCTGGAAGTCATATAGATGAGCAGTCTCCTTCTACTGACTTATTCCCAGAAGTGTTTGAAGCTGGCTTTGCTCCCCAGCTCTGGTGCTGAAGTGTGGCCCTTGTGGGAGAAGGCGGGAGCAGGGACTGTCTTCATCCCACGGGCGCACAGCTGTTCAGGTTGTCCTGAGGCCTGAATGCTGCAGGGCTAGGCTGGAGGGGTCTGCTTGTCTCAGAGTCACTCATCAGTTCGGAAGGGGGCAGTGCCTTAGCACCTCATGGGTTGCCCGGGTGAGGATTTTTTGTTTGTTCAGGTAGCTGCACGTGTATTTAGAGCTTAGGAAGTCAGTGCCATACATTCATGTTTTTAGATTGGAAGACTTAACATGGTGACAGTGATCGTGCTCCCCGGATGCGTCTGCAGACTCAGTCCAGCTGCCTTTTTGCAGAAATTGACAAGCTGATTTTAGAATTCTTAGGGAAATGCAAATTCAAGAATTAGCCACAACCAACTTGAAAAAGAACAAAGTTGGAGGATACTCCCTGATTTGAAAACTTAGCCACAAAGCTGTAACAGTTAAGACATTGTGGGACTGGCATATAGTGAGACAGCTTGATCAGTGAGATAGGGTTGAGAATCTAGAAATAAACCCCTACATTTGTGGTCACTGGGCTTTTCAACAAGGGTGCCAAGAGAGCGTGGGAGAGTCTTTTCAGCAGTGGTGTGGAGACAGCCTGATAGCCACGAGCAGAAGAATAAATTTGAATCCTGCCTCTTGCTGTAACTCAAAATGGATCCAAGACCTCAGTGTAACAGCTAAAACTACAAAACTTTACAATTACAGGGATAGATCTTCATGACTTTGGATTAGGCAGTGATTATTTACATGTGACCCAAAGTACAAAGAGCAAAAGAAACAGTAGATAAATTGAACTTCATTAAAATAAAAATATCTTGTACTTTAAATTTCTCTTTTGAGATTGTTGAGCATCCAGGTGGCCCCCGGCTGCTTGTTCCTGGTGTCGGCTGCAGCATCTGTCCCCCCAGCCCAGGTGACGGGTCGGCTGCCCCTCTGCCCTCCCTGCATCTCAGGTGTGCGTCCACTTGCCTCGGGCACCTCCCTTGCACTCTTCTAGTTCTTCTCTTTGCCTTTAAGGCTCACTTCTTCCCAACTCTCCCTGGGGTTTTCTACGGTTGACTCTTCAGGTCTCGAGCATTCTTACTGTTGTTTCAGATCACTTTGTTGTTCGTGCCTTAGTTTCTTTGTTGTTCGGATGTGTGTGGAGGTTCCCTGAGAGTGAGCAGTGCTCGCTGTCATCAGGGAGCCGGGCCCTGTCTATGTATGTCCCCAGTGAGGCAGCAGGAACGTGGGCTTCTTTTCCCCTCTCTGCTCTTGGCAGTCAGGGGCCTGCTCCCTGAGTAAGTCACTGAATTTCAATGTGTCTGTTTCATCCTGTTACAGCATGAACAAGCTCGAGCAGGGGACGAGTTCTCAATAAATAGAAACAGACAGGTCTCAGCCCTCCCTTGGCTGACCTGTGAACCTGTTTGTTCTCACCTTGCTCCACTCTGTTCCTTTGGTCTGCCGGAATTTCCAGTGCTGCCCTGTCCCCCCAGCCTTGGGCTGTCTGATGTCATTTGTTCCATACCTGTTGGAGGTTGGACTCTGGCCTTGAGCCCTGGGATTCCTCTTGGGTGCAAACCCTAAGATGCTTGTAGATGGGAGTCCCCCAGTGTGGTGGACTAAGGCAGGGCTTCCTGTGATTATGGCACCCCAGGTCAGGATGGGGAGCAGTCTGGTTCCATCTGTACCTCCCCTACCTTTGAGACAGAGAGTTGGGGAGGGAGTAGTTGGCCAGTACCAAAGGTACCTGATGTTAACACTGGTGATCACACTCTGTGTTTACTGTCTTATTGGGTATTGTTTCCTATTGTCCAGGAAGAAAACTGAGGCAGAGAGCCTGCATAACTTGTCTGTGTGTGAATCAGAAAATTATTTTGTTGTCTTGCCTGAAGGCCTTGCCCTTTCTAGTCATCACATCCTTCTTTCCTGACGCTCCTTTCCCCTCTCAGGAGCTGCAGCTGTCATTGGGGACTTAAAGTTTATAGGAAAATAAAGCCTTCTCATGCTCATTCTTTCTGTCTATTAGAAGCACTGATTTTTGACAGTTCCTTCTCCACCCGGGTGATAGGTGGCTTTTATGAGATCCTAGATGTGGATTTTATGTCCCTTCTTGGTGTGGTGAGAAGGGGGGAATTGAAAAGCAACTTCAGGCATACGTGATCTTTGTGTACTGCTTTTTAACAAATCAGGACCCAGAGAATGTGTTAAAAAGCAAATTCTTGACTATTTTTTAGGACTCACAACTTCGACAGAGTACAGCTTATAGCTTACATCAGCCTCAGGGAAACAAGGAACATGGCATGGAGCGGAATGGCAACCTCTACAAGAAAAGCGATGGGTAGGTAGAGGTGCTGAATGCTGGAGTTGAGTGTGTGTTCCTGACCCCTTGTATCCAAAATGTCTAAATGCTTATTTTTTCCCATTTATCCATAAGGATCCGTAAAGTGTGGCAGAAAAGGAAATGTTCAGTGAAAAATGGTTTTCTGACCATATCCCACGGTACCGTAAGTATTCTCTTCGTCCATGGTCCTTGCTGTATGTCGTTAGATGGTGGGTGATGTCAGAAGACACAGTGTTCTGTGCGTGTTGCTGCATGAGGGTGGCACTTGGCAGAATTGCCCTGTTGGAAGAGGTTCTTTGTATTCTTGACTTGGTGGTCTGCACCATGTTTAGCTGCTGGCTGGGTGGAACCTTCTTACTTTCTACTGCTCCGCAGAGTTGGGAGTAACTGATAAGCCAAGTATCTTTATTTGGAGGCCTGTCACCTCCAGAAACCATAAAATGATGAACAGCTCCCTCAACAATCCTTTTTCCAGAAATTAAACACTGGGGAAGATGTCTTCTTTTCCATGAAGGGAAAAATGTTTAAGTGGTCAGAATTCTAGGAATCAGAAATCCAAAAGAGAAAAGTGATTTCAGTGACTTTATTGTAGAAACCTCACATACTGCACCCCACCTTCATCAGGCTCTTCTTCCATCATCATGTTTAGAAGAGCCCGCACAAGAGAACAGCCTTGGGTGTGTTGAACATATGAAAAACCAATCCGAACAGAATTGTGCACCAGTCTAGCTTTCAGAGACTAGGAACCTTAACTGCAGTCTCAAACATAGCCCTTCATACCAGTGCTCTTTCCCATAGTGGCCCTAGGCATGTCGTCCCCTCAATTGGTGTGACCCAGGCTGGTGAAAACCTCAGGGGCCAGGAGAAAGTTTGGGAATCATCTCAAGGCAGTGCTGGCTGCTGTTCTCCTGGCAATGACAGTGTTACATCTCTTTCTGAGTGCACACCGGGCACTTTGTGCATCGTGGCCCCGCTCATGGGTATGGATGGTGGTGACCCCATGAAAGGCAGGGTGGACAGGAGCACAGACAGGCTTTTCAGAGGTCATCGTTTAGCATAGGGTCCTGAGAATCAGCCCTGATCAGGACTTAGGAGTAACAGGATAAAGCCCCACTTGAAGGAGGTTCCCAGACAAAGGATTGTGTTCCACTGGGTTGGGAGCAGTCCCTTCCTTTTTGCTGACTCTGTTAAGCAAAATGAGAGAGATAAGGCAGCATGTATCAAGTGTAGTCTGTAGGATCTCTGGGCGAGCTCTGGCCTGGGGCAGACTGTTTCTTGGCCAGACAAATAGAAGTCCTTCCCTTTTCTGTAATGCAGCCTGCACGCTGCTGTGATCCCACCCCCTTCCAGGGTGTTACTGCTCGTGTCTAGATGTCCCCCCAGACCCTCATGCGGTCATAGATGGGGCTGTTTCAGAGGTGCCTGGATCTAGAGTGTGTGACGCAGGAATTGATTCATGATGCAGTGGGAGGATCAAGGGCACTGGGATTAAGGGTGTGAGTGCTGCTCGCCCGAAGTAGCCTTGATAAGACATGAGGCACAGAAAGAGCTGCAGTTGTCCTTTGTTGTTTTGCTCTCTTCTGCCCGCCATGGTTCTCCTGTGTGACGCCCCTCTGCCCGCCCTCCCTGCCTTGGAGCCAGCCAACTATGGACTGAAGCCTCTACAAACTGAGAGCTAAATAAACCTTCCCTCCTTTAGCTTTGGGAATTGGATACTTTGTCTCAGCAACGAGAAAAATAAGACCTGGGGTTGCAGTCTGTGCCTTCCTGTGCTGCTCTTTCCATACAGATAGGTGCATGGGTGTGGGGAGGGGAGGAGTGCTATAGAGGACAGGAAACAAATTTAATTAACCACGTCTCATCCTTAAAATTAACAGCCTGAGACCAGGAGATGGAGATTCTGTGGTTTATTTTTTAGTTGTCCAGTTACTTGTTTTAATTCAGGTTTACCACCTTGATATACAAAATAAAGACCATGTTTTATTTCATGCTCTTACAGCTCTCAAGTCGCTGGCGAATCACATTTGCTTCATCGAGAGTCCCCTGAGGTCCTGGGCCTCAGGTCATGCCAGCCAGTAGCTCTGGCTACACAGAGAGGACCAGGCCTGGCGACCCTTTGCTGGCAGTGAAGCTCACGCCATGTCGGTGCTTGAGCTTCCTGTCAGAAGAGGGGGAGGCAGCCTCGTTAGGTCTGGATGGGTTGCCCCAGTTTTTGGTGTCTACAGCACAGTCCTAACCAGCTTCAGAAGGATGCTGACAGCTCAGCCTGTCACACAGTGTGCATGTTTCGTAAGTCCTTTGTGTGCTGAGTGAAACCCTCTCCGGGGACCCTCCACTTCTGGATGCTTCACCTGCCGTTAGCAGCCACTTTCTGCCCCAGCTGTGGGACAGTGGTGGGCCCTGTCCCGTGGTGACCCCCCCATGCCTTGCAGGGACCCAGTAGCTGCTTTCCAGCCCTCTGCTCAGGCTCTGAATGTTCTTCCCTCCCTCTCCCTGTGTGTTGTGCTGCAAGCTCTGGAAGTGGGAATCCTGGGGACCCTTCTGGCCTGGCATGTGCAGGGTTTGCCCAGGCAGGGAAGGAGATCCCTGGTAGCCACGACTAATCGTGCTTCTTGGCACCCGGAAGAAGCGATCCTTGGATGAGATACAACAGTGTTGGCACCAACAAGGGCTGGGGACTGTGCCAAGATAGAAGGACTGTCCACTAGCTTTCAAACAATTAAATTTTAAAGTCTAACAAACTGGTAAAAAACATTTTTTCTTAAAGCCTAACCAATTGGCAAAAAGTAGACTGACAAGATTAAACTGGGAGAATCACTAATAATCCTTGCCTTCAGGACAAGCACTGAGGCTGGACTCCTCCTCCTCCTCCTCCTCCTCCTCCTCAGCTTTTCTGCTGAACCGGGGCTTCTCAAATTAGGTCCTAGAGGAACACTGATAATCTTGTGAATTAGATAAAATTGCTCAATAGCTGAAGTAAATCATGGTACTCTTTTTTCCAAATTGCAGCAGGAAAGGAATTTAATGGGTAGAATTTTCTCTCGTAAATTTTTTATATAGCTTTGCTGTGAACTAATAATCTGAATGGGCAAATAGCAAACAGCTATTGGTATAAAACAGAATAGCTGATACTGCTTAAGATGGCCAGCTTGTATGATTTTGTTGATAGAATTATTCCTACTCCACATAAAGGCACTGGATCTTTTCTGTATTTTATGGGGGTTTTTGCTGTACAGAAGGCAGAGTGTCTTTGAGGGTATTTTCTCAGAGGATGAACAACTTTCTCCATGCCATAAGGGAAGAAAAAGGGAGGGTCGTGATAATTCTAATGGTGGTTCTTTGCTGCCTGAAAATGCAAAGGGATTTGCAGAGGGAAAGGGAAAATGCAAAGGGACCTGGTTGGGTCCAAGTGAGCAGCTGCCTTCTCTGGGTACTAAGTGAGCCCAGCAGCCTGGCAGCTAAGCACTTGGGCCTTGGAGAGGGCCTGGCTTCCCTCTTCCTGGGCTGCAGAACCCCAGTCATGATTTGGTTTGTCCGGGCCATATGTTTATCTATAACATTGGAGTAGTTCCTGCCACAAAGGACCATTAGGAGCCAGGCGTGGTGGTGCATGCCTATAATCCCAGCACTCATAAGGGCTGAGGCAGGTAGATTGCAAGTGTGAACCCAGCCCGGGCAATTTAAGGACTTAGACCTTTTCTCAAAATACATAAAAGAGGACTGGGGATGTAGCTCAGTGCAAAGGCCTTTGGTTCAGTTTCCACAAAGAGGGTGGCAGTTAGAAATATGGGTTGAATTAATTCATGAAAAAAATGTTTACAACAGAGCCTGCCTCACCGAAGTACAGACTAATAGTAACTGAGTGAATGTAGCTCTTCTCAGTCCTCGTAGTGTCCCCACAATGCTTCTCATTTACTGATATTCACCGACAGCGGACGCTGTAGTCTGGAAGCAGCCCCCAAAACTCGGTGTCTCTGTGCATGATCACAGGATCGTCACAGTGTCTCATGAGCTGGACATCTGTGTCACCGTGCCTGGTTTTGTCCAGGTGTATCATTCATGTGTTGGTTCCTGGGTGAGCCAGCTGTCCCATAGGTAAAGATCCAAGTGGGTGGTGCTTTTGCTCAACGCTGTCCACGTTTGCAAGATTAGGCAGGGCAGAGGCTTCTGAAGCTGGTGTCTGATGATCCCAGGATTCCGTCAGGAATCTGCAGGGGTGGAGAAGATCCATCCATAGGAGAGAAGATCAGTAGAGCCACAAACCAGGAGCGTCTAGGACTACCCTGTTTATGTAGCTTCTGAGTGTCCAGACTTTAAATCCCTGAGCCTTTTTCAAACCCACATCCCGTATAATTTGAGGATCGGTCCCGTTTTAAGGAGGCTGCTCCTCCCCCTGCTCTGTAGAGTTCCTGTTGAGAAGCCCTGGGTCTGTGAATGCAGGGAGGCTGCACAGGCCTGCCCCATTCCAGGTGCAGATGGGTCTGGATTAGGGCCACATCCAAGCAGCTTGTGGTCAGAGCAAGTGGAGAACAAGAACGATTGAAGTGCACCATACTTTCCTTTGACCTTTCCTTTAGCAGCTTGTTAGATGAGCAAGGTAAGCCTGTCTAGGTCTAAAAGGTTTCTAACCACTTGACATTCACAGTTTTTCTTTCTGAAATTCCCTTCTCATCTTGCTCCTTTTGCACTTTAGGACTAAGAGTGATATTTTTTAAAACTAAGAGAACAACCATTTTTGATGCAGCTGACAGAGAAGTATGTTGTGATCCCTTGTGTGTGGGGTTGGGAACATGTCTGAATGAAGTGCGTTTTGTTGAAATGCCAGAGACAGTGATGGTTGACTGTCAGGGTTATGAATCTGTTATCTGTTGTTGCTTTAGAAAGCAGGAAAGATCATTATCCCGCCACTCTCGTGCTGAGATTACTTTTCCTGGAAGTGAGCATTCCGCTCAGAAAGACTCACCAGAACATCAGATACTGTGCTAGGTGCCCATGTCGGCCCCGAAACTACTGTGCCATTCGTAGGACTCAGAGCTCTGGGTAGTGGGGTTTCGGTCCTGGAGCGTTTTGGTCCTGGAGCGTTTTGGTCTCAGGGAGTCCCCTCAGTCCGGATTTTGTGTGAATCACTCGGTGTGCCTTCAGGGAGGCCCTCACAGTCAGGGTCCAGGGACATTTAAGTCACCTTTTTCAGGCCGGCTTTGTAGATGAGCAAGTGCCCGCCCACCCTGGCTGTGTCTCCCCAGAAGTGACTGGGGTGGTCTCACTCTTTCCCTCTCACCTTCCCTGTCATTTGTCGTACGCAGGCTAACCGGCCTCCCGCAAAGCTCAACCTGTTGACCTGCCAGGTGAAGACCAACCCCGAGGAGAAGAAGTGTTTTGACCTCATCTCACGTAAGGCTCTTGGGGAGTTGGCTGTGCGTGGGGAAATCTCCTTAAATGTGCCTCTAGGGCATTGGTCCCATGCCTGACACTGGGTATTGAAGCCCTGGTTTTGGAAGAGCAGCACCCTTGTCAAGCGAGCTGCCTGCTTTGTCTTTCCAGCACCAGTTCTTGGCTTACTGTTCTCTCTGGCTGAGGACTGGACATGGAGAAGCAGCCCTGTTCCATGGCTCTCTTAACCTTAGACTCTGCGCAGTCTGCTCTCCCATTGAAACTAGAAGGCTGCACTAGATAAGCTCTCAGACCCAAAGTCCTTATGACTTCGTTTGCTTTTTGAGACAAGATCTCGTTATGTAGTCCACACTGGCCTTGAACTCCCTGTGTAGCCCAGGCTGGTCTCAAACTCTTGGTGATCCTCCTGCCTCAACCCCCCTTGTAGGATTACAGCTCAGCTTTGTTTTTTGTTTTTTGGGTTTTTAAAAGACAATTTTGATGTCCAAAGCTTCTGTAATTTACTGGCAGTATGTTAGAAACACTATAAACAAAAATGATAGGGTCTCGATTGGAGCCTTCAGAAGTTGAGTTTGGAGAACCGTTTACCTTCCCATCACAGCATTCATGTTTCCACTTCTGTGTGCTTTTCCTCTTCATGGAATCACCACAGACTCACCACAGGATCATCTCCTATGGCCAGTGTTTACCCAGACCCACCAAACCCCTGAAAAGAAAAGGGCTGGAAAGGTTTTAAAGGAGATAGGACAAACCGTCTGTTCCCTGTCATCCTACGTGGCAGGGTTACAGTTTGGGGAAGAAATAGCCAGTCCCCTTTTGAATATGAAGTCACCAGGGATTCGGCCCAGTTGCTGCATTTACAGAGGAAACCACTGTCCTGTGTGACACAGGCAGAGGGCGCTGTCCTCCTGGCCTGGGCCCCCAGCAGGAGTGGCTCCTCTTACAGAGTCTGTCACCATGTGACGTTTGTTGCCAGGGAAGATGGGCACACCCCTCAGACATCCACACCAGAGGGCACTCTGGCGGCCGACACCCAGGACCCAAGTTCCCTGGGCCCCTGTTGTTTCTCTTTTGTGGCGGAGACCCCTGGAAATGGCTGTGGTTCACATGCACCTCGAGAGCCCACAGCAGAGGGGCTTCTCGCTTAGACATTTGGGGCCCACCTTCTACATCACACATCAGCGCACAGAGTTAGCCATTGGCTTCCCTGACTCCACCTGGTCTGACCGGAAGTAGCTCTGCGTGAGGCGCAGGGCACTAACATTACCTCCCGAGTCATGGCTTCCTGAGACCTCTGAGTCCCTCGAGCCTGGTCTTGGGCTATGATCTGCCACTCCCAGGCCCAGGGAGCCTGCGCATGTCCATACCTGAGAATACGCCCACCTCTCTTTGCACACTTGAGCCTGGCATCTGAATCACAAAATAACTTCATTCTTCCAGACTTGAAACAGTTTTCTTATACCTTGTTCCTCCCCTCAGTAGCAGAAGGGATAAAGGAAAACCTGGCTCCATTCCCCCTGTTGTTAACGAAACAAAACAAAACAGAAGAGCAGCGTGGTGTGGGGAAAGAGGGTGGGGCCAGGAGTCGGGAAACCTGGGTGCCCTTTACCTCTCGGGTCTCGGTCTCTGCCCAGGCAGCTGACAAACCTGTTCTCAGAAGCAGGGTGCTTTCAGGAGTGAAACCCACGACTGTAAGACCACTGGTGTTTGCTCACTTTTGGGCTACAGTCGCTTCTTGTGTGTCCCTAAGAGGAACTCACGGGCACATGGTGCGCATTATCAGCCGTGTGAGCAGTTAGGAAAAGCCAGCAGTCAGCACTGGCACTGTGTGGAGAGCTTGTCTTGCCCAAGTCTTACCAGACTTTCACTGCATCCTTGTCCTGCCCGACATCCCCCCAGAAGCCTGCAGTGTCATCAGTTGTTACTCATCCATTCTCTCTGCAGTCCTCCCTTACCTCTCACGATCTTGATACATTTTGAAGCATGTTGATCAGTTCTGTGTCAGCTGTCCCTCCATTTGGGTTTCCCTGATGTTTTCTCATGATTGAACTAAAGATAGGAGATTTTGGCAAGAGTAGCACAAAAGCAGCATTATCATCTCACACGCCTCATCCTTTGTGCATGGATGGCCAGCAGCCCTGTAATGTGCCAGTGGTACCTGAGGGTGGCATGTCAGTGCCACCGTTCCTTGGCAGGATTCCATGGCTTTGGCTGTTTGGAGCACAGGGCTCCCGTAGCTGGTTATTCTTCGACTTTCTCCTGCAGTGCTAACCTTTCTCTAGGAAAGCCAGAAAGCATCTAAGATACTCCCTTTAGAAAAGGCTTCTGTTATTTTCAGAAAGCTTAACAATTACTTTCTTGGCTCAATTCTAGTGAGTTTAAAAAGTAAACCTTTTGATAGGATGATGCCGGTTTCCTTCACACAGCTCCAGTTTCTAGGAGCTGCATCTTTTACAGGTCCAGAAACAGGGCTGGTTTATGAATTAGCATTACAAAGCCACAATTATTGGACAAGGGCAGACATTTTAAGGCCTTGAGGGAGGGCTTGATTCTATACAAATCATTAATTTCCTAGAGAGGGCTGAGATTATTCCTGCAGTTAATTATAAACCACTTTCGGTTGGAACTGTGTATGGATTACTGTTTGGGCTTGCTCACCACTGATGCATTTCCTCTTGCTTGCAGATGACAGGACATACCACTTCCAGGCAGAGGATGAGCAGGAGTGCCAGATGTGAGTGGCTCGGGGTGGGACTCCGGGCCGCCCGCCTGTTGTTCTTGGCTGTGACACTTTACCGCCATGACTTGTCTAGATGGATGTCAGTGCTGCAGAACAGCAAGGAGGAGGCTTTGAACAATGCGTTTAAGGGTGATGACAGTACAGGAGAGAATAACATTGTCCAGGAGCTGACCAAGGAGATCATCTCGGACGTGCAGAAGATGACGGGCAACGATGTGTGCTGTGACTGTGGAGCACCAGGTGACCCAGCCCACCCGTGCTCTGGGACATTCAGGTCCCAGTCTCAAAATCCATTCATTGATTTTCACTTCCACTTCAAACATGAAATTAAGTGCAGCTCAGCCTGAGTTCATCCCATTACACAAATGCTTAATGAGTTGTGCAGACCACTGGGCGAGGGCTAGGGGACCATCCCCGCCGACCCCTGAGAGCAGGTCTGATGGAGACACAGAGATGTCAGTGCGTCCTGAGAAATGAGAACTGAAAAGCACCTCAGGGGAGTCAAGGTCATTGGTCCCCTTTGGCTTCTGAGAGGCTGTGGGGGTGCAGAATGGGTCTGGGATTTCCCCTAGCCTCTCTTGGTCCGACTTTGTAGATCTCCTAAGATAACTTTCACCTGGGTGTGGTCATACATCCTGTAATCCCAGCCCTCTGGAGGCTGAGGCCAGAGGATCACTAAGAGTTTGAAGTCAGCCTGAGCTACATAGTAAGTTCAAGGCCAGCTTACAGTACGTAGTGAGACCCCATCTCAAAAATAAAATAAAAATAAATAAACGACCAAACAAGTGTTAGTTCAGCTTGGGCAACTTAGCAAGACCTTGCCTCAAGATTTAAACAAAAGAGGCTGGGAATATAGCTTAGGGCAAAGGCCTTAGATCCAATCCCTAGCACCATAAACAAGTAAATAAAGTAGCTTTCAGTCATCGTCAAGAGCTGTAAGATGTCAGTTTTCTGTAAAATTGAGGAGCAAGTCCCTCTACACTGTCACATTCAGTGACATGAGACATTTATGTTTGCATTTTGAAAAAGTATGTCAGAGGCTTCATTATAATAAATACAGAGTCACTTTTTTTTGAGGGGATGCTGGCTCTGGGGATCAAACCCAGGGATTTACTCATGCTAGGCAAGTGCTCTACCACTGAGCTACATCCCTAGCCTTTTTCATTTTGAGACCAAGTCTTACTAAGTTTCCCAGGCTGGCTTCAAACTTGTGATCCTCCTGCCTCAGGCTCCTGAGTAGCTGGGATTACAGTTCATAACACCATGCCTGGCATCACTATTTTTTTTTCCAACAACTAATTTTCTTGTTTGTTTGTTCTGTAGTACCGAGGAATGAATCCAGGGTCTTCATTCTGAGCTACATTCCCATCCCTTTTTTATTTGTGGGTGGGCCATTGAGACAGGCTCTTGGTATGCAATTTAGGCTGCCTTTGAACTTACTATGTAGCCCAGGCTGGCCTTGAACTTACAGCAATCTTTCTGCCTCAGCCTCCCAAGTACAGGGATTATAGACATGCACCATACCTGGTTTAACAATTACTATTTTTTAAATGTTTGAGGAGTTGGCTTATTCTAATTAAGATGGAAGGATCCTGGGGGTGGTCAGTGGAACTATGTGGTAGCCTTTTTTGAAAATTGTAAGATGAGAAAGAGTGTGGCTTTCCCAGAATGTCAGTTACTTTTTAATGCCTCCAATTTTGGGCATTTCTATTAAAAACACAACCAAGATAGAGTGGACACTTGAGAAATGCCATTGGGTTCTTATTACCTTGAAGGCTACCTATATTTGGTCTTGGATCCATTAAAAATATCTTTTGGGCAGAAGATGAGGTGGGGAGAGATAAGTCATGAATTGCGCAGTTTCTTGAGAAAAAATAAGGACAGCAATGTGCGTAGGTGTCTCAGACACTGGCACAGGAGTCAGAGCTGGTGTGCTGGCAGCACTCGGGCTGCCTGGGTCTGAGCGCTGTGGAGCTTCTCCTGACAGTGAGATCATCTCCATCCTGGCCACCTCACAGGCCCCTGATGCTTCAGCCAGCCGTGATAGGAAAACGCTCTGATTTCTGAAGCTCTTCTGATGCGCACTCTTCCTGCTGCCCCCACAGTGCTGAGCACAGCACATCATAAGCAGATAGTGAGGCTTGCTGTTGCCTTCAGCGTCCACAGCCTGTGTGTCTCAGGTCCGTTCCCTGTGAAAACTAGACTGGAGTCGCTTCCTGCTGCCCTTGCTCCACTCTGCTGGCCTGGCCAGGGTGGCAGAGGCTGTGTTCTCTCTCCAGGAGCAGTCTTTGAGCTCACAGTCACTCCAGAGCCCCATGTCCTACTGTGTGCCCATGGCACCTGCCACTTAAGGAATGGGAAGGCATGGAGGTGGTGTAAGTGGGGAGAGGAGAACTGACTGACTTTTGCCTGGATGTGGATTGCATGTTAATTGGCACTAATTATGGAGATTGAAGGTTCTAGCTCTGTCAAAAATCAAAACATGTTCATGTTGAAAACTCCACGTTCAGTAACCAGGCAGGAAAATGTGGTGCTCCTGGCCTTTTCCTGACTGCAGGCTCATTTGCCTTGTCCTCTTTGGCAGATCCGACATGGCTTTCCACCAACCTGGGCATCCTGACCTGCATTGAATGTTCCGGAATCCACCGAGAGCTAGGGGTTCACTATTCCAGGATACAGTCCCTGACCTTAGATGTGCTAGGAACATCTGAGTTGCTGGTAATGTTTAAATTCTTGATTTTTGGGTTGGAATTAAATGAGCAGAGAGTTAAGCTTTTATTTGGCATTCTAATCCATTTTGGTTTTTTGAAATATCAGTGGGCTGCTGGTGGTTATGTTGCCAGATGGGTTTGGGTAATTAGAAACTCATTGATAATTCCTCATTCTCAGCACCAGGCAAGTAGAGGCACTTCTTGTTGCAAAACTTAATTCTTAAATACAAAAATAGGAAGCAAACCCAAGATTCTGTTATGAAATTCTTCAGAAATGAGGTAGGCTGGTAGTGTGGTCCACTTTCTCCATCTGTAAAACATGCAGAAACCAAAGCAGAGAGACAGGGAAGAATTTGTTCTCCCTGAGTCATCAGTTGATTTCTGACAAGGCTTAGGTCACTTTTTGCCTCTCCCTGTGGGGAGAGATGGTGGTCTTTGTATCTACTGCTGCTTTCCTAAAAAAGCTTTTATTCTTGGTTCAGTCACCACACAGAAGCCTTGTGGTAGAGTTGAAACGGAAGCATGTTCTGTGAAGGAGCTTTCCCACTGCTGAGGCTGCAGCTCAGCTAAGTAAGAAGTGAATCCGCCTCAGTTTGTACTTCTGGCTGCCTAAAACCTGAGTTCCTCTGGGCCATTTCAGAGTCCTTGGCTGCTGCTTAGAAAGCAATGCTTGAACTCTTTCTCCGGGTAGCTGGGTGTCAAACAGGGCATAGTAAGTGGATATTGGTTGCTATTGATTGTAATGTCAAAAGCAATAATCTCAACAGAAAATCAATGGCCAGGGTCAGTATTCCCCACATGGGGCCATAAATCTTCTTGACGAGTGCTCTAGATCCACAGGTCTGGACTGCCGATGCTGCTGAACTCTCCCGGGGACCCTTCCAGTCTGCGGTCTTGAAAGTCAGTTTGGGAGAAGCTAGAGTGGATCCTGGTGGCCTGGGTAGGGTCAGCCCTGGTGGCTTAAAGGTCAAGACTAAGTCAGGCACAGCAAGGCCCCAGTGCACTCTGGTCACTTTGGTGGCTGCCCCTGCCGTGAAGAAACACATGGCCTGCAGCCTGCAGCATGTGTGCCTGCGCTGTCTCGGGGTGGACGCCAGCGGTTCAGAGCTGAGGCTGTTGTGTTTTCAAAGAAACACAGATTGTATCAGTAACACTGGAGAACTGCAGCAGTTGCTAGTTTTACTGATTTGTTTATAGCACTGGGAAGCATTAGGTGATTTATGGTGAAATAACTTGGTTTGCATTAGGCATTTTGCAGAGTATGTTACATATATGAGCTCATTTGATCTCTGTGACAACCTGATGTCCTCAGTATGTTATCCTTGCTTTACTGAGGAAGAGACGGAGGCTTGAAATGTTTTCATGTGCCTGGCACTATGTCCCTCTTAAGAGACGTCTGGGAGGGGCCTCATCTCTTACTCAATTTGATTCAGAGGAGCCTGAGCCATGGACCATGTGTGTGCGCTGGGTCGTTTGGCCATGTGACTGCTCACCCCTACTGCTCACCTCTGGGGAGAAAAGAGCCCTAGTTTGCAGCCTGCCCACCCCTGTGGGGTTAATTCTCCCACCATGACCAGTTAGTTGCAATTGACCCACATGAATTCCTGAACTTGGAATTCGAAATATGTTGAGTAGCAGCAGCAGACAGTTCTGTAAAACATTATTGTACAAATACACTGGTCATAAATAACTTCAGGAACATAGATAATAGAGCTGGGCATGGTAGTGCACACCTGTAATCCTAGCACTTGGGAGGCTGTGGCAGGAGGACCACTGCAAGTTGGAGGCCAGCTTGGACTACACAGTTCAAAGCTAGTCTGGGGCCGGGGATTTAGCTCGCAAGCGCAAGGTCCTGAGTTTGATCCCCGGTACCAAAAAAAAAAAAAGCTAGTCTGAACAACATAGTGAGACCTTGTCTCAGAAAACAAAACACAAAACAAAACAAAAAGCTAGGTCATGGCAGTCCCAGGAGGCTGCATGTTTCTCCAGCACTGGGAGTGTGATTGATTGATACACGCATGCCAAGGCTCTGTGGACTAGCTGTCCCCTGATAAACCACCCAGTTCCAAGCAGAAGGGAAGCAGCTTTCTGATTTCTGAGGATTCTCCTCCTCCCACCCCAACCCATCTGCTTAACCCAGGCGAGGAGGCTTCAGGGTGGCCCCCACTCAGCGGGGACCGTGGCTGCTGCTGTCACTCGCGGTCAGGAAATGTTGGTGCGTGGTGAGGGGTTGTGTCCCTGCCGTGTGATGCCACGGGCAGGGGCTTGTGCCTTAGGCCTTCTGAGCATGAGCCCACCCTGATCTGACCCTTCCAACAGCAGTGACCTCACGGCTCCTGTCACCTCCCCTGACCACTGACTTTGGAGTCTCTTGTCCAGGAAACCTCAGCCTGAAGGCCTGGCTTCTTGCCTCTTGACCTCAGCTTGAGGCTGCAGAGCCAACAGCAAGGGCGTGGAGTTGGTGTTTAATGCTTTACCCATTTAGGAATCTTTGTTCACTTGTCAGGGACAAGGTGAGATCAGGGAGGCTCATCACTCAGCCGGGAAGCTGCCCTGTGTGTCTTTTGTCCTGTGTTTAAAAAAAAAAAAAAAAATCCCTTGAGCTGGATGTGGTAGTGCACACCTGTAACCCCAGCACTCTGGGAAACTGAGGCAGGATGCAAGTTCAAGCCCAGCTTGGGTGACTTAGTAAGATCCTGTCTCAAAAAATAAAAAGGGCAGGGCCAGGGATATAGCTCAGTGGCACAGTGCCTGTCTGGCAAGCACAAGGCCCTGAGTTCAATTCCTGGTACCAAAAAAATAAATAAATAAAAAGGGCAGATGATGCAACTCAATGTAGACATCCTGGCTCAATCCCCAGTACTGCAAAGAGAAAGAGGTAAAGGAGAGAAAGAGAAAAGAAAGAAGACCAATCTTCTGCATCCGTCTCTATACCCTTCACTGTTGGATGTCACTTCCCACCTAGGAGAGGTTCTGACCCAATCTAACCCAGGTCCCTTTGGCTCTTCCTTCAGCGACTTCCCCTAGAGACAGACCCAGCCCCTGGGCCTCCCAGAGTATCTCCATCAGCCCTTGGCCTGCACAATTAATTTAGTGAAGGAATAATCAGAAGCAGCACCAACTCCCCTAACATTTTCAATGTGGACATTGAAAAATAAATGTTTTCCTGAAGCACATGCTAGAACCTCCCTTCTAGCGTGTTTCTTTAAACAGTGAAGACTCTGACCTGTGGTAGAGCACTTACCTGGTATCAGGGAGGCCCTAGGCTTCATCTCCAGCATGGCAAAAAAATTAAAACAAAAAACAAGGAATGTAGCCAGGCGTGTGGCATAGTCCTGTCATCCTAGCACTCGGGAGGCTGAGGCAGGAGGTTTGCCTCCTGTTCAGGGCCAGCCCAGCTACATAGTGAGTTCAGTCTGAGTTACACAGCGAGACCCTGTCTCAAAAAAGCAAAAAGCAAAAAAAAATGTCTGACCTGGAAGCTGTCCCGTATGGCAGGTACTAAGCTGGGTGATAGAAAGGAGATGACTAAGTCCCTGCCTGCTCTTAAGGAGCACCGGGTCATTCATTCATGCAAAAGGAGGCTGGTTGCCTGACTGTTAAGGTAGCATGTGCCACACCATGACTTGTGCCCTACAAGTGTCTGCTGTATCCAGCACAGCGCCTAGCGTTCAGTACTTGTGCTGTGAAAAGCTGTGACTGTCTCACAAGACAGGAAGCTGAGGGGCACGGACAGACCTTACTTCCATTGGGACCTCACGTGGCACTTTTAGTGCTTTGGTCTCAGAGTGGTTTCCCTAGCTTGTCCTGTTTTTGTCCTTGCTGTGGTGCTGTGTCCTCCCCACTCTGCTGATAGATGTTGATGCTTGCCTGTGGTCACAGCCAGGGACGCGCCCATGACTTGGACCGAGTGGGAGCCACCTGGCCCGGTGCCTCTTGCACTATCAGAGCAACTGCTGAGTAGTGCACAGAGGCCAGCCGGGGGGCCCTGGTCCATTTCGGAGAGAGGTTAGGGAAGAAGGCAACTCGCAGTGGCCTGTGGGGACTGTGCAGGGCACTTTATGCAAAGCCCCTGTATGGAAGGCATGCTGCTTCTCTGCTGTGATTTTATGACTACCTCTGGACTTTGGGCTTTGTCCGTCTTCATTAACGGCAAACCACTTTATCATTCTATTTCTTAGCAGCCATTAAATAAATCATCAGACATATGAGTAACAGGGAGCGGTGAAATGCGTTAATAATTAAGTGTCCTGAAATAGACTTTTGTTTTTGCAGCTTGCCAAGAATATTGGGAATGCAGGCTTTAACGAGATTATGGAGTGCTGCCTGCCAGCTGAGGACGCTGTCAAACCCAACCCGGGCAGCGACATGTAAGTATGGGCCTGGCTGCTGTTGGTTCCTGAACACAAGTGTGCCCTTCAAGGCAGGGGAATAATAGGTTTGTGGTGTATTACGTGTTTCTTCTTCTTTTTTTTTGTTTGAGACAGTCTCACTGTGTAGCTCAGACTGGCCTCGAACTCACAGTGATCCTCCTGCTTCAGCCTCCCAAGTGCTCAGATCACAGGCGTGCGCCACCACACCCAGCCAATTGTTGTTTCTTTAAAAATCAAACCAGTTGAAATTGAAGTGAAGGCTTTCTTTTCCTTTCGTCTCCCCTCCTTCCCCTCCACTCTTCCTCCTTCTCACCTCCCTTCTGCCCCTGTCCTTTCTTCCTGTCTTTCTTCCTGGGACCTTTTTGTGTGTCCTGAAAGAAATTTGGCATAGCCAGGTTTCTTCTTCTAGGAGGAGGCTGGAAGGACAGAGTCTAGCAGGTGCCTGTGTACAGAAGGCAGTGCGGTGTGTCTCACGGTCCCCTGCTCTTGGTGCCTCTTCCTTCTCCTCCTGGGCCGCTTTCCCATCTCGGTTGTCTGTGTGGATTCTAAGCCTCCAAGGGGCAGATTGTCATGGATACTGATTACACACCACACTCTCTGCCTGTGCCCTTCAAGTGTAGAGTGTGTTGTTCCCTTTGAAAAAAGCTTGTGCGTGTTTTCGTGTTGACCCAGAACTCGACGGAGCAGCATCAGTGCCTCATCCTGTTGCATCCCGCTGGCCCCGACAGGCAGCACCTGCAGCGGGGCTTTTCTTGCCGGTCTCATCAGTGTAGCCCCAGACCTGTGGTCTGGAAGAGGTAGAGGGGCCATCAGTCCAAGCACTGGCATCCTGCATCAAAGACCCAGCCCTGTTTGTCAGGATGGCCGCCTGTGTGCCGCAGGAGGCCCCAGGTAGTCACCTGCCTGGCTGTGACACAGTGTTAGGCAGACAGGAGAGAGATGGGCCCCGGGAGTCAAAAGAGACCCCACCTGCATTGTATGGGAGGCGGATCTAAAGTATCCTGGCAGGAGAGAGAAAAGCAAACATGGTTTGGCTGGGAGGAAGTGGAAGACTGCATTTCTGCAGAAGCAACCTGAGATGTAGTTCATGGTGTGAGTTCCCCTACAGGATACGAGTCATGTGAAATGTGCCTTGAAGGGTGGCTTTGCACGTGGGTGCAGGCCCTCTGTGAAGCAGAAAGTTTGGAGTTTGTAATTGTTTCACAGGGTCGTGTTTGGGAATCTGACGCCAGGGACCTGTGGAGCTCTTTGTGGTGACAAAGCAGAGATGCACTGAAGGGATGAGTGGGGAGCATGTCTATCGCTGGCCCCACAGGGCCTGGGTGGGCCACTGGAAGCGTGGAATTAAAGTCTGTTTGTGCTTACATCCTGGAACCAGGCTTTGGGGTGTAGCACAGCATCTCCCCAAGATCGGAGAGTGTGTGGGCTCCAATTGCCAGTTAACCCATCTGGTGAGGACCTAGTTTTCAAATTTGTGTTCCTGTAATACAGGGGGACAAGCCGGCATGGTGGTTCATGCCTGTAATCCTAGGACTCAGGAGGCTGAGGCCAGTCTGGACTACAGAGTGAGACCCTGCCTGTCTCAAAAAAATAAGTAAAAAAGGCCAGGGATTTAGCTCAGTGGTTTCGCTGCCTGCTGCCCAAGTGCAAGGACCCGAGTTCGATCCCTAGTACCAAAAAAAAAGAATTTACAATCCAAAAAAACAAGTGAAAAATAAACAAAACAAAAGAAAGCCCATGCTGCCCCTCCCCACGGCAAGGTGGTTGGTGTGTATTTCGGTGCTTGTTGGCGTTGGCTGTTCTGTGTCTCCTTTCTGTGGGCATGGGGTCCTCCTCGTTGGCCGCACATCGACTCTGCATCCTGGAAGGAGGCCTCACTACTTTTCGGGGGAGGTTTCCCCAGAGGTGCAGACCCGCTCTGGGCAGCCAGGGTCCTGTCTAGAGAGGACCTGTGGCACCCCTGCATGGCGAGCTTGGTTACAGCTAATTGGCACCTGCTCTTTCTGCAGTGTTCTAGAAGGCGGTAACTGGCCAACCTGCAACAGTTTCTGATGAGTAATTTCTTTCAAGATCCAGGAGAGCATTTGTCTGTTCTCGGGCTGGAGGAGAGTGAATGGTGGACACTGATTGCTTGGAACCTTTCCTTATCAGTGTTCTACCTTTCCTGGGTTCCTGTCCCAACCTTGCTCTGCACATTCACATCTCCCCTTTTTCTCAGACTGAGGGTGGCTGACCACCGTAGTGACAAAGTGCCACCTCTGTTCATTGCTCCCCGGCGGCGTTCATGTCTGTCCTCCAGCATTCCGTGTCTGTTTACCTCGTCCCTGGGCTCACACATACTGTTCTGATTCCTTGCATCTTACTTTTTCCTATTTCCCACACAAAATGTCGCTTATGATGGGTCAGTAAATATTTAGTGAACCAGCGGGTCAAGAAAATAGCCCAAGCTTCAAGAAAAGTAATGTTTTACATCTGGATGGAGAGGGATGTGCTATTTCTAATTTTATCTAAAAACAGCACACCATCTGCAGTGAAGTCTGGAAAGGGAAACCAGATAGATTTTGGGGTGTGCACCCTGTGTCACTGGACTCTGGGGTCCAGGTTGTGTCTGCTCCCTGGGGCCAGAACCATTCCGGGGGAATGGAAGCTGGGGACCCTGGCTGAGCACCAGTGGTTCATTCTGTGGGTTCATGGCTCTTGTCCAAAGATCTCTCAGCCTTTAAATAAGAAGGAAGGGGAAGCGGGCACCTGCCTCTCATCCCAGCACTCAGGAGGCAGAGGCAGGAGGATCACCATGAGTTTGAGGCCAGCCTGGGCTATTTAGTGAGACCCTGTCTCAGAAAAAACAAAAGGAACAAAGAAAGCAGGGGAGAGCACACTGGCCTCACAGACTGCTTCACATAACCAGAGTGCGGGTTGGTGGGGGCGATGTCCCCCATCATGGGCCAGCCCGTCTGTAGCACCCCAAGATAAGCTCACTTTCTGCTTGGGGTCCCCTTTCGGGGCTCAGGCACTCTGAACGGGGCCAGTGGTGTCACATGGACATGGGCATCCACAGGCCTCACTGTGGGGCAGGTGGGCGGGCGGTCCAGGGGAAGGGGCAGGGCTGCTGGCCCAGCATGAGCACTGGGGACTTGGAGTGTAGTCCTGCCTGGCCATCACCCTCAGGAGACCAGGGGTCATGTGGCAGTGGACCCCAGCGGGTCACCTCCTGGTTCTGGTTCTCAGGGACTGGGGTATCTGGATCTTCTGGAGACATGGCGGGGGTCCCTATGTTCCCTGCTTCCGTGTGGTCTCACTGCGTCCTGCAGTGGGCCACAAGGCGCCATGGCCACGACTCACATACACAGGATAGGAGGTGGTGTCGCTTGCCACAGGCACGTGGGGGACAGGCTGGACCCATCTGAGATGCAGCCACCTGAGTGGTCGCTGGGCGGAGTGACCACCTCTCGGAGTGGACCTCGGCCTGTGGGCAGGGCAGGGCCCTCCTCCCATCACTGCCCTGTCTGACACTTGGGAGCGCCTCCCACACGTCCTTGCTGGAGTGGCAGGAAGGCCACAGGACCCAGGCTTGGCCGGCGGTTGCTTCTCCCTGCATTCTTGTTGTATTTAAGGGATAAATTACTCAATTTGGTTTTTCCAACATGCTTGTTGGCAGCTTTATTGAAGTATAATTCACATTCATTTAAAAGTATATAGTTCAGTAGCTTTTTGTGTAATTTACAAGTTGTGCAACCATTGCCACAATTTTATTTTACCTTTTTTCTTTATTTTTGAGATGAAATCTTGCCTTTTGGCCTTAGTCTGGCCTTGGACATGCTGTCCTCCAGCCTCAGCCTCCTGAGTAGCTGGGATTACAGGTATGTGCCAGTGTGCCTGGCTCAGTCTCTTTTTTGTTTCATTTCGTTTTGTTTTGGTGGCAGTTCTAAGGATTGAACACAGGATTTTGCACTGAGCTACGTCCCTAACCTCAATTTTAGTGTTTTTTTTTCACCCTATATGAAACTAAGTTCCTCTTATGTACCCAGCCCTGGGCAACCCACTTTCTGTGTCTACACATTTGCCACTTGGGACGTTCCTGGACATTCCTGGAGATTCTGTGTAAATGGAGCCATAGTGCATGTGGTCCTGTTGTCCGGTTTCTTTCCCTTAACGTGGTGTTCCGAGCTCATCCTTGTAGACCTGGTCAGTGCTTCCGTCCCTTTCCTGTGCAGTGCTGCTCCGCTGTAAGGCACACTGAGGTGTCTCCATCCGGCCATCAGCCGGTGCTGCTGGGTTGCTCTGTGACACCCTGTCTTGATTGTCGTGAGTGTGGCTGCCCTTGCTGTGCTGTCTGTGTCTGTCACTGGTGCTTCCCAGGTCCTCGGTGTCGTCAGGACTGCAGAAGGCTTGGTCCTCTGATTACGGTTGCCGTTTTTCTTCACCCACTTTGGGGTTCAGCAGCACTTTCTAGGGTTCTAGGACTTACTGTGCACTCTGCTTACGTGGTTAACACACGCACTTCTGGCACTTACACTATGAGGATCCATCATGTGCCTTTTCACAGATCACAGTGGAGGCCAGATAGCTGCAGTACTTAAAGTTCAAACCGCCAGCCTGCAGTAAGAGTAGGGTTTGAACCCTGGCTCCCCTGGTGTTGGTGCCCTCGGGGCTCCTTCAGCCTGAGCCTGAGCCTATTCAGACATTATAGAGCATACACCTATAATCTCAGCTAATCAGGAGGCTGAGGCAGGAGAATTGTAAGTTCAAGATCAGACTGGGCAATTTAGGAAGATCCCATCTCAAAAAAAGAAAAAACAGCCAGATCCTGGAACACAAAGCACAGGGTCAGCAGTGTGCTAAGGTTGGATACAGGACTTCAGGACAGCCAGAGGCAGGCAGCTGAGGGAACAGGTGCCCCAGGCCACCTGTCCCTACAGCTGGGTATAGCCTGGAACCACTTTTCAGGGCCCCACCAGCGCTCTGAGCTTGGAACCAAGCCCCTGGGGCCTCAGGAGCAGGGCCCACAGGACCACAGGACCACGAGGCTCCGCTGTCCTGTGGTGGGCGAGGCTGGGTGTTGGAGGTGGGTGGATGCATGGGCACTGAGTGGGTTGAGGGGAGGCCTTCATGCTTTACCTGACAGCATTGTCTTCCTTCAGGAATGCAAGGAAGGACTACATCATGGCCAAGTACATCGAGAGGAAGTACGCAAGGAAGAAACACACAGACAGTGCTGCAAAGCTGCATAGCCTGTGCGAGTCCGTCAAAGCGAGGGCCATTTTCGGATTGCTCCAGGCCTATGCCGATGGTGTGGATCTGACGGAGAAGATCCCCCTGGCCAACGGCCACGTAAGCAAGGCTCCTGCTTAGGGTGGTTGGGGAGCCAGGCCTTGTGGGCAGGCGTGCTGGCCACACTGCAGCAGCTGTGCAGAAAGACACTGAGCCTCCCCAACCCCACTGGCAGATAATTACAGTAAATCCCAACTCACAAACAAGGTCCATTCCAGAAGAATTGTTCGTTAAGTTGGATTAGTTGGTAAGCTGTCAGTGAGTCTTGGAGAAAATACCTGTGACAGTTTGCAACTCGAATGTTCGTGAGTCAGGGACTTACTGTACTTATGTTGAGCATCCCCATCCTGAATGCTTGCGACCAGGACTAGTTTGGGTTTTTTTCAGATTTTATAATATTTGTATAATATTTAATGAGATATCAGGGATGGGACCCAGGTCTAAATGGGAAATCACTTGTTTTATACACACCTCATATGCATAGCATGGATAATTCTGTACACTGTCTTTATTTATTTACTGTGTTATTGAGGATTGAATCCAGGAACTTCATACTGAGCTATATCCGTAGACCTTTCTTTTGAGACAGGGTCTCACTGTGTAGCCCAGGCTGGCTTTGAACTCCCTATGTAGCACAGGTTGACCTTGAATTTACAGCAATCCTCCTGCCTCAGCCTCCTGATTGCTTGGATTACAGTTGTGCACCACTACACCCGCCTAGCCCTTGGTCCCTGCTTTAAAAGCATACCTTTCTATATGCTTTGGATGCAGGTAAAGGGGTAGAGTGTAGGAAGCCAGGGGAACCCTCCGAGATGCCTTGAACATGGCCTTGCTTACAGGTAAACACTCATTGACATGAGGGGTGGTGCTTAGCGATCCAGAGGAGTTGGACCGAAAGCCCTGACTTCGTGTCTGTTCCGTGGAGGAAGGAAGCGTAGACCAGACTCTGACTTGCACATCCCTGGGGTAGAGATTGCCCTAGAGGTTAGAGAAGTGCCCTGTATTGTGGCAATAAGTTTCTGAAAGGCAGGGTGAAAACCTTCTAGAAGACTGGCACATGGTTCCGCTTTGTCGGACTCAAGGTTAAAGCTGGAATCACAGAATGTCTCGCTTGGTTTTCAGGAGCCAGATGAGACGGCGCTGCATCTTGCAGTCAGATCCGTGGACCGGACTTCTCTCCACATTGTGGACTTTCTTGTTCAGAACAGGTCAGTGTGCTCGTGTCCGTGGAGGCCTTGGCCTTTGTCCCAGGCCTCTGAGATGGAACCAGGTGCGGGCTTGGTCTCGCTGCTACAGTGCTGGGGTCTTCAGGGCTGAACAGGAATTACCGGGATGGGGCCCTGTGAGGGAAGCCTCAAAAGCCCCGGAGTGCGGAGTGGAAGCTCTAGGGCGCCAGGGCTTCCTGAGCAGGCCCAGTGTGAGGGGAGTGAGACCCACGTGTCAGCCCACGTCTGCGCCAGCACCTGAGGAGCAGACACTGGCCAGGAGTCGCTGCCTGCTGTGGCTGGCACTGGCTCTCGAGAAGTGCATGCAGGGCACACAGGTCCCACCAATCTGTTCACAGTGCCCCCTCCCATGTGGACTTGCGGCCCCTCTGATGTGCATCGATCTCCCTGACTGTGGTTTTGGGTGACTGTCCCAGAGCAGACTTGAAAGCGCTCTCGCTGGAAAGGAAAGCTCCGTAGTATGAAAAATGATTTGCATTCCCTACTTCACCCTGCATACTCGGGCAGAGGACTGAAGAACCAGCCAGAAAGTAGTGGAGCCTCAGAGTAGTCGGCCTGAGACCCACAGCTGTGCCTCATGGAGCCGAGGTCACTGGACTCCTAGCAGGGAAGATAGGACACCTGTCCTCAGAGTACAGCCCAGCTCCCAGATCTCTCCCTGGTGGCCCAGGCCATGGCCTCCTGGTCGGCACTCAGTGACCTCGGGCTCCTTGAGGGATGGATGGTGTCGTGTCTGACCCACCTTGGGGACTGGCTGGCATTCTGCACAGCCCACTTCCCCCCTGCCTGTGGCTCAGTGTCTTTTTCTCTGTCACCGCTCCTGGCAGTGGGAACCTAGACAAACAGACAAGCAAAGGCAGCACGGCCCTGCACTACTGCTGCCTGACAGACAATGCTGAGTGCCTCAAGCTGCTGCTGCGAGGCAAGGCCTCCATCGAGATAGGTGAGCCCCGGTTTCCCCAGGGGAGGTGGGCTGCTGTCCCTGGGGAGATGCCGTCCCTGCTTGGTCCCTGCACTTGTGGCCCCATGAGGGGTCCTGGTGGCCCTAACCACTGACGCTGGCAGAGGCGCAGTTGGCCCACTGCTCTCTGAGCAAGTATGTTTGGAGAACTATGGAGCAAAGTGGAATAGGAAAAAGGGCCACATCTGCTGTACAGCCATGCCTGTCCTCTAAAAATTAATCAGATTACTTAGAAGAAAATACAACTTCCAAGTTTATAGGCTACTGGGAGTTTATTACACTTGTCCAGCGTCATGGCGCACACCTGTAATCCCAGCTATTTGAGAGGCTAAGACAGGAGGATCGCACATTGGAGGCCAGCCTGGGTAATTCAGGGATGCCCCGTCTCAAAATGTAAAGGGTTGAGAATGTAGCTCAGCAGTAGAGCTCCTATCTTACCTAGCACATGGGAAGTCCTGAGTTCATAGTTCAGGCCCCAGTCCTGCAAAAGAGGTTGTACTACATTCAGTGCATAGGACCTGTGGTGGTGTTCTTGGTGAGAGATTGATGAGGCCCTGCTGTATTCAGTTACGAGCTGTATATTAATTTCTTTCTTTTTCTTTTTCTTTTTTAGACAGGGTCTCACTATGTAGTCTAGGCTGGCCTTGAACTGGGGGGCAGTCCTCCTGCCTCAGCCTCCAGAGTGCTAGGATTACAGGCATGTGCCACCACACCTGGTTCTGCATACTGATTTTAATTAGTTGACACCTCAATAGTTCATTTTCTCAATGTAAACCTTGTGTTAAATTCTTAGCTTCTCAGCTGGGTGTGCAGCCTAGGGTACATAATGAAACCCTGTCTCAAAGAAACAGCAAGAATAGAAGAACCTCTTAGTTTCTCTACTCTGTGGCCTCCAGTACTTACCGGGTCAGACCACTGGTTGTAGGAGTCAGTGGTGCACAATGTAACTCAGTGCTGCCTGCCTGCGTGTCTGTGCAATGGCTCTGAGAGCAGGCCTGTGCCAGGTTTGCCATGGAACCTCTCTCTTCTCCCTGGACTTGCAGCGAACGAGTCTGGAGAGACCCCGCTGGACATCGCCAAGCGCCTGAAGCATGAGCACTGCGAGGAGCTGGTGAGTCCTTGGATGGTGGGGCTCTGGGTCAGGTGTGACCCAGCCCCTACAGAAAGAGCTAGGAATGGGCCTGACTTGGAGACAGTGCTGGGGAGACTTCATAAGGCAGGCGGCGCCCTCTCGTGGTGACACTAGAACTGTGTACACTCACCAACTGGAAGAGCTGTTAGCCCGTCAGTCTCTTAGGGCTCCCTGCAGCTGTACCCCTTACTTGGCGGCTGGCACACCCAGCTCCTGTCCTACTCTGTCCCTGCTTGCCCTGAGCTGGAAGAAGAAGCAGCGATGTGACCCGTGAAAAGAGCTGGATTGCAGTGGGGCTGTGCTGCTGTGGTTTGAGAAAGAGCCAGGCCCTCAGGCTGCTGCCGTGTGCACAGTCAAGTCAGTTACGTTGCTCTGTGAGCTTGTTGATCTGGAAAGCGCTTGGCACATGGTGAAGTGCCTGATCCATAGAACTAGGAGTATAAATGTCACCCAGGTACAGGGTCGGTAGCAGGTTCCGGTCCAGGTGCTGCAGTGCCACTGGCTCATCTAATCTTTGTCCCTACTCTGTGCCATAGTTTCTACTGGGACCCTGTATAGATGAGGAAGCCGACAGAGAGCTTAAGTAGTAAATGTGCCCCACAGCTCCAGCTCTGGGGAGAGATTCAGCCCTCCAGCCCTCCACCCTACTAGGTAAGGAATTAACTTCTGCGCATCCAGAGTGAAACTAATTGTCTAGCCACCTGCTTCCCGTGAGGGGACTGAGGAAGTAGTCGTTCAGCCCCCTTTCTGCAGGGGTCAGTTCTCTGTGCTCGTTGAGAAGGCAGGGCGGACAGTGAACTCACCCCTGCTCACCCGCTGGCCGGCGTCACCCTTAGGTTTGGACAGCTCCTGCCCAGGCCGGCAGGTTTCCGTGTCTCGATGACCCTGTGAGGCACATAGAGGGGTCTCAAGCCAAGACCACTGACACGGCCTCCTTGGATGGAATGCAGTCTCTGACTTCTGGCCACAGACACCCATGGGTGCTGCCGCCGTATCCAAGTGTGTGCACAGCAGTCCTGACCGCCCTGTTGTTCACAGCTGACCCAGGCCTTAGCCGGGAGGTTCATCTCTCACGTCCATGTTGAGTATGAGTGGCGGCTGCTGCACGAGGACCTGGATGAGAGTGACGATGATGTGGATGAGAAGCTGCAGGTCTGTGCAGGCAACATGTGGTGAGGGTCCCACCACGCCTCTGGGAGCAGGGTGGGGCCTGGCCCGCCACTGAGGCAGAAAGGAAAACCCTGCTCAAGCTTGACGCTCCTTGGTCTCAGTTCGGTTCTAGGTTCCGCCCTTCCCACCTTTGGTCTCCCCGTTCCTGTGCGCTCACTGAAAGGGACCCCAACCTTGTTAATGGGGGCAGCTGCCTGCCTTTTGCTACGAGGGGAAGGTGTGGAAAGGCCTTTGATTGTGGCTTGCAGAGGACCGGGTTGTGAGGAGCCAGGTCCCCTGTGTGATAGTCACAGCCCTGAGGTTGGTCACTTCCCCTGGCCAAACCTACAGATCCTCACCTGAAATCATTCCACAGCCCCAGCGCTCACTGAGCCCAAGCCCTGCCTTTCTTGGTCAGGAACTTCAAGCCTTAGAGAGGGCGAGCCAGCCGAAGGGAAGCAGCTGTTTCCAGGCAGCCTGGAAGGAGAACCGGCTTCTTCTGCTTCTCTGAGTCCCTCCCTCAAACTCAGGGCAGGCCCAGGCAGGCCAGCATGAACTATATAGCAAGACCCTGTCTCACATAGGGCTGGGGATGTAGCTCAGTGGTTCTGGCACCTGCCTCGCAAGCACAAGGTCCCGAGTTCCATCCCCCCCCCAAAACAGTAGCAGAGAAGACCTGAGTCATTTTCATACTTACCTGCCTTTGGCGAAACAGTTTGAGCACTCTGGGAGGATGAGCCAGGAAAATGGCTGCAAGTTCCAGGCCTTCTTGGGCTACATAATGAGTTCAAGGCCAGTGTGCACTACATAGCAGACCCTGTCTCAAAAAACAAAACAAAGGCCCTGGGGATTTAGCTCAGTGGTTCTGCTGCCTGCCTCAAAAGCACAAGGTCCCAAGATTGATCCATGGTAACAAAAACAAAAACAAAACAAAAAAAACAAACAATGGCCAGGGATTTAGCTCAGTTGTACCGCCCCTGCCTCGTAAGCACAAGGTCCTGAGTTGGATCCCTGGTACCAAAAAAAGAAAAACAGGGCCAGGGATTTAGCTCTGTGGTTTCGCCGCCTGCTGTGCAAGTGCAAGGACCTGAGTTCGATCCCCGGTACCAAAAAAAAACCCCAAAAAAGAAAAACAAAACAAAACAACAACAACAAAAAAACCACCAAAAAATCCCCACGGTTTGAACCCCTGCCCTGAGTCACCTCCTCCAGCACGGAGGCCTCACACTGCTGTCTTAAGAGCAAGTGAGGAATTAGGGCGATAGCCTGATTGGATAGCAACAAGGGCTCAGCTCAGGTAAGGTCCCAAGACTCACCTCCCCTTCAGCAGAGAGCACAGGCTGTGGTTTGTCTCAGCTGGGTGGGCTGCAGGTGAGATCGGCCACAGCCTGGGGGGGGGGTCCCGTGAGGGGCACAGGTGGTACTGAGGCCGGCCCTGTGCTGGGGACAGAGCAAGAGCTGCATGAGTTGAACAGAAGGGGCTCAGCAAGGCCGTGTGAGGTGCTCACCATCATAGCCAGGGTGCTGGAGTCGGCCGTGGGAAGGTGAGTTTTGTCCAAGTTGCCTGAGCCATGATTCCACTTGTGAATTTCCAGTAAAGCCAATGTGGAGAAACCCAAATAATAAAGATTCCAGGCTCATGAGGCGAAAATAGCAGTTTTTACTGCAACTACTCAGCTTTGCCAGGTTGGCTTTGAAGTGACCAGAGACGACATATAAACGACAGCTGTTGTTCCACAGCAGGTGTGGTGGCCACAGGCCGGGTCTGCTGAGCCTGGGTAGAGGAGACCCAGCGCTCCCCCATCTGGCTGGCCTGGATTAGCCTGGGAGCTGTCCTGGGTGGACTTGGGCCTCTCGACCCTCCTAGGCAGGCCCCTAGGTCTATGCCGGGAGACTGGGCTCCACCTCACGCCTGCCCCACCCTCCCTCACAGCCTAGTCCCAACCGGCGGGAGGACAGGCCCGTCAGCTTCTACCAGCTGGGGTCCAGCCAGCTTCCGCCCAGTGCTGCATCTTTGGCCAAGGACAAGCCGAGGAGCTTTGTGCCCAGCATCCTGCAGAATGAGACCTATGGAGCCATCCTGAGCAGCAGCCCGCCCCCGTCCCAGTCCGCAGCCCCCAGCACCACCAGTGCCCCCCCCCTCCCGCCTCGGAACCTTGGCAAAGGTATGAGCTTCGCCGTCCCAAGAGCACTCGCGGCATCGGGTGTGGGCTTCCGGGAGTTTGTTGCTGCTTTGCCCCAACCAGGTGACTCGGATGCCTGCTGGGGAGTCATTTTCCCTTTGCTTCCTAAAGGGCTCCATCATCTCCAGATGCGTGGTGGGCAGAGTTCTTGCCTGGTTCTTGTTCCGGGCAGAGATGTGGCGGCTGTGTGCTGTGTGCTCTGTCCCTTCCCAGCATGTCTTTCTGCCTTTCCCCACTCCCCACCCTCTGCCCGGGTTCTTCCTTCTTCCCCTTTGCCCGTCCCCGGGCCAGCTCGGGGCCCCTGCTTTTCTTTCTTACCTCTAAGATCCCTGGGAAATAGGTAGAAACACCGAGGGCACTGCCCGGCCTAGTTGTGAAACGGTCGCCCTGTGGGTCTCGCTGTGCCTAAGATGCCGAAAACTCATCCTTTCCTGTTAACTGCATCCCAAGGAGCTGGTTGGGCTCTGCAGGTGATGTCTTTGTTTTTACAAATACGGAGACTGCACGCCCCAGGGTGGAGTGGTTTGTCCCATAGCAGAGCTCAGCTGGCCCTCGGGCTCCGGAGCAGGCCAGTGGCAGCAGCAGCTCCTCCCTGGGCCAGGGCTGGCTGTCCATATGGGCAGCGGCCAGCGGGGGCTCCTTGGGAGCAGGAGGGGCTGCTCAGGCTTTGAGGGGTCCGAGCCCCCACCGAGCCGAAACCAGGCCGTGGTGGCTGCTGCGTGTCATGGATGGCATGGCATCTGTGGCACAGGCATGTTTCAGGTTGTGCTGGGAGCAGAGGAAGTGTGGGCTGGGACCTGGTCACTGCAGGCGTGAGCACTGCTGTGTGCCATTTCCATGTGTGCGGCCAGGTCCCACAGTCCTGGGTATCTTGGGGACGCTCCTACACGGTCCCTCGTTACTTAGACAAATGAGGATGGAACTGTCATGCCGGTCACAGGGCCACTGCCCCAAGGGCGATGTTCTGAGAGCAGGCCCAGGACACTGGGCTGGGCGAGGACCCTGGGCAGGGCGGGCAGCCGCCTCCCCATGCTGATGGGGCAGGAGCTAGTCCTCACCGGAGACCCAGGGCCCCTTCCACCTTGCCCCACGTCCCGACCCTGCAGACACATGCTGACATGCAGAGGCCAGGTGGCCAAACGATGCCAGGTCCTTGCCCCACTCGTAGTCTGCGCTGGCCTCTGCATGGCGGGGCGGGGGGCGGGCATTAGCTCCTTTGGGCTAGCACTTGGCCTTGGGCTCATGGTTTCCTGGAATCTGGGGTTTTGCTGTTTTGCTCCTTCCATGCTTTTGGCCGACCTTGCCTGTAGCCCCCTTTTCTTGGGAGGGTGCTTCCCCGCTCTGACGCGCTCACACTTAGGGTCAGAACAGATGACAGGGAAGGCGCTGGCACCATGGGGCCTGCACTGGGCGAGCTTGCTCTTTACGGGAGACAGAGGCTGTCTCCAGACCTCAGGCCGGGACACAGGTCTGACCTGTGCACCTCGAGGGAAGAGCTCGTGTGGCAGGGGAAGGACTCGTGACCAGGGAAATGCCATCTTTGGGGTCCTTCAGCCAACCTCTCAAAGCAGTGTTGGCAAGTGGGTGGGTCAGCCCTTCCCATCTGGCCAGCTGCACCTTTGTCCCCAGGAGGATGGAGCAGAAGGGCAGAGATGAGTGGAAGCCCCACGGGTCCCCAAAGCCATGTTCAGGATAGGAAATTGTGGCTGTTTATTGCCCTCTTCAAACAATATTTCTGCATGAGAAGTGAAATCAGGAACTTGAAACTTTGACAGGCAGGAGCCAGGCATGATGGTACACGCCTGTGATCCCAGCACTCAGGAGGCTGAGGGAGGAGGATCATGGGAATTTAAGGCTAGCCTGGGCTACTGAGTGAGTTCAAGGCCAGCCTCAAGTCCCTGCTCACTAAAACAAAAAATACAGGGCCAGGAATTTAGCTCAGTGGCACTGTGCCAGCCTCAGAAGTACAAGGTCCTGAGTTCAATCCCTGGTATCAAACAACAACAACAACAGAACAACAAATACATAGATAAATAAATTGACAGATTGAGAAAGGCATCCGGGAAATGGTTGCTGGCCCATCAGACTTCCAGATACTGGAGACAGAAGCTCAGGGTTCTATCTGCTGCCAAAGAAAGGTCACAGCGACCGTTTTGTAAGCGAGAGGATCAATAACACCGTGTTTTGTTTCTGTTTTTGTTCTGTGTGTGCATGTGTGTATGTGCCTGCCTGTGTGTGTTCATGTGATCAGTTCAGACAGCCTCCTCAGCTAGCACCCCGTGGAAGACAAACTCTGTAGGTGTGGATGGTGTCAGCAGGCAGCGATCTTCGTCAGATCCGCCAGCTGTCCACCCACCGCTGCCCCCTCTGCGAGTGACATCGACCAGTACGTTGTCCTTTTTTTCCTTTCTCACCAGTGGGCCTTAGGTTGGAAGGCAGGGGCGGCTGTCGGCAGCCACCTGGGGAGACAGCTGGGGACGCACAACTGCACACAGGCGCACACACACTCACAGCACGACGCTCCCACCCTTCTGACTCCACCCCACTCCATACCTCAGTGGCTCACTCATTCTCTTCTGTCTGCAAAGCATTTTAGAAGTACTTCCTCCTCCACATCCTGCCCCAGGGCTTCCATTGCCTGTCCTTGTGGTGATTTTCAGTATTTGGGGACTTCGTTGCTGTTACCATTGCTGTTTTGCTCAATGCCAACTCCTGTGTGAAAGTCCCTCGGGCCTCCAGGGGAGGCAGTGGGAGCGACTTTGCTCCTGAACACAGGACCAAGCATCCCTCCCTGGAACTGGCCTGTCTGCCTCAGCTGTGGTGGGGAGAGTCCCTGCTTTCTGAGCATTGAGAGGACTCCCAGGCCAAGGGGCTTGTGGCTTCCTTGAAATAGTTAAATAAGCCAGGCATGGTGGGCACACCTGTAATCCTAGCACTCAGGAGGCTGAGGCAGGAGGATCACAAGTTGAGGGCCGACCTGGGCTACATGGTGAGTTCTAGGTTGCCCTTGACTACATAGCAAGACTGTGTCTAAAAAGTGGCCCAGCCACTCTAAAAGGCTGTGTGAGGAGTCACACCGGTGGCAGAGCCAGGGGCAACGTGTGCGGGAGGCTGTTGGTGGCCCTTCGGGGGCAGCTAAGACACACTCAGGACTATCAACGGGGGCTCAGTCAGCCAGAGCCCTTTCCTGCCTCTTAGGCTGGTGTCCCTGGGTTAACTCGGGAGTGCGAGTCTACTTTTTGGCTTAAAAATGGAAAAAGAAGCCGGGCATGGTGGCACACACCTGTGATCCCAGCATTTGGGAGGCTGAGGCAGGAGGATCGCTGTGAGTTTGAGGCCAGCCTGAGCTACTCAGTGAGACCCTGTCTCTGAAAAAGAAAGATCATAGTCTGGAGTCCTTTGTTTTTCCCCAACTTCCCGCCCCCTGGACCCTCTTTGGTCACCAGAAGCCTGGTTCACTGGCTTGTCCTCGCCTTCTGTGTTAGCTCCCATCCCAAGACAGCCACCACCCTTGAAGGACTAGCACTTGCTGTCCTCGGAGGGGAGGGATGGGTTGAGCCCCACAGCCTTCACCCCGCTGGCCCCAGGGTCAGGACCCTGATGGAGCCGCTTCACTGTCCATCCTCACGTGCAGCCCTGCCAGGCAGCCTGGTGGGGTGGGAACAGCCTCGTTGGTACCCAGCCAGCTCGGGCAGAGGCCCAGCTCCCATGGCAGGGCCCAGGCTGGCACCTGCTCCGGGCCCTGCTCCTGCTGCCCCTTCTCCCAGGATTGCAGCTGAACGGCAGGCTCCCCCCCGTCCTCCCTTGAGGCCCAGGCTGACTAGGGCCTGGTTTTCTGAGAATGAGTGAGGGCTTAGGCAGGCATGTGACCCGGGGGCTGGGAGGAGAGGCCTGGGGTGCGGCTGGGTGTGCGGCTGGGCTGGTGCGGCGGCTGACCCTCACCACTTCCCTCTCCTCTCCTCACCCCTCCCCACAGATCCTCTGACCTCTACGCCACCCCCTTCCGTGGCCAGGCCGCCCCCTGTGCTAGAGGCCCTGAGCCAGCCGAGCAAGGCCCCGCCGCCTGAGGCCTCCCAGAGCAAGGCCCTGCCACCCCAGCCGCCCAGCCGCCCGCCACAGAAGAAGCCAGTGCCCGGGTGAGTGCTGCCCCTGCTTCATGCGCCCAGAGGGCTTCCGGTGACCACATTGGGTTCTCTCTGTTGGTTTGGGGTTGGTTTGTTAGTTTGAGACAGTCTTGTTATGTAGGTCAGCCTGGCCTTGAACTCTCTATGCGGCCCAGGCTGGCCTCGAACCCTTGGCAGTCCTCCTGCCTCAGCCTCCTGAGTGCTGCGTCTATAAGCATGTACCACCATGCCCGGCCTGGCTTTCTCTGGACAATGGGAACTCCCACCGCTGTTCCCACTGCGCCACAACAAGGGTCGTGTCATCTGCGTCCCAGGGGGAGTAGAGCTTGTGCTTCCACAAGTTTTCAGCTGTGGAAATTCCTTACAAGTGTATCTTAAACCCACACAGCAGAAATCTAAATTCAGTACCATAAGTCCCTGACTTCTGAACACCTGAGTCATGACCTTTCACAGGCACACCACGTGAGACTCCCTTTGTCGGATTGTGAACATACCCGACAGGAATGCTCTTGGAGCGGAGCCTCTTCCTAGTCGGGGACCTGCCACGTTCTTCTCTGTGCTCTGGTTTTGTTCTGTGCAGTCTGGGAATGGCACTGGATTTACATAGTTGCTGGGTACAGACACCAGGCTCTTGGGCACGAGGCCCTCTGCAGCTCTGGGGAAGGTTAGGGAAGGTCTGCTTGCAGCTCCAGGGAAGGTTAGGGAAGCCGCAGGGCCTGTGGACACACCCAGCCCCACCAGTCACTCTGTGGGGATGATGTCCTTTATTTCATCCCTTGGAACCTGGATCTTTATATTGGAAAGAGTGTTTTGGAGTCTTTAGTGGAAATGGTACCAAGAAGCCCTCGTCTGGTGCTGGATAGTGCAGCGTCGTTCCTGTCCGGGCCTCTCCGGGGTCAGGGACCGTGTCTGCCTCCTCACCTCCTCTCCTCTGCTGAGGGTGCTCCAAGCCACTGTTCTTGAGGAGGCCAAATCGCCCTTCAAAGTTCTGGACCAGAAACAGTTCAGGCCGGGCCCCAGCAGGGAGCCCCAAACACAGGGGTACGGGCCAGCACATGTGAGGCTGCGGCGCAGGTCCAGCTGCTCCAGGTCCCTGCAGAGGCCAAGCCGGCGGGAGGCAGGTGGAGGGAGGACATGCTGGTGACGCTGGAGGGTGCTCTGTCCGGGCCCTGAGGAGCAGGGTCTGCTTGTCAGGGCGGAGTCGGTTCCCACTGGAGCCCGTGGGTGACTGAGTGCTGAAGGGAGCAGCCACTCCTCCCCACAGTGACCACCAGGGGATGCCCCTAGGTGTGCATTCATTCCCCTAGTGCAGACTGCCCTAGAGACCAGGCACACCCGCCACCTGTTTCTCTGTGGTCCACGAGCTCCCCATGGCTCTTGGACTTACAGGTTGAAAAAACCACGAGGAGACTATGGCATGGCATGCTAGACTCATGTGAAGTTCAGACTTCAGTGCCCGTAGACATTTATTCATGCAGCATCTGTGGCTGCTGTCCTGCCACAGTGGAAGAGTCGACTTCATAACCCACAAAGCCTGAAAAATTCGCCACCTGACCTTGAGATGGTGGAAATTAGCAGTGACACTGGCAGATTGGTGGGCCTCATTTTTAGGCCTTTTCAATTCCTTGAAAATAAGAGCAAAGTGCACACACCTGTAATCCCAGCACTCAGGAGACTGAGGCAGGAGGATCACTGTGAGTTCAAGACTGTCTGAATTACATAGGGAGATCCCGTCTCAGAAAGTTAAGAGTCAAAACAGCGTCATTTTTTCTCTGGCTTCATTTTGAGACTGCAAACACCAAGACCCCAGCGGGTGCATTCCAGGCAGCAGGGAAGGGCACGTGCGGCGGAGAGGACACCCGGGCTCCCTCCCGACCTCCTCTGCCTCTTCTGCAGCCCCAGGGCTCTCACCTGTCAAGCTCTGTCCCTCGCCCTCACAGCTGGTGTCCCGTCCCCTCCAGCCGAGTGTACTGCTGGCCAAGCAGCCCTGGCCTGGGCTTTCTGGCCTGAGGCTGTGCCCTACGCTCTGGAGCTTCTGCTTTGCGGCTCTGGAGCGTCTGCTCTGCTTTGTGGGCCGCGCTCGACCAGAGCTCGCCACTAGCCTCAGTCTGTGGTCAGCTGAGTCTCTCCCTGGCAGCAGGGGCCGGGACAGCGGCACTGATGCCGCCAACCTGCGGTGCTGGGCCGGGTCCTGGGTTTCCTGGGAGGCCTGAGTAGAGGGGCTGGGGAGGAGCCCTGGCACCGGGGTCGGGAACAGGGAGCTAGCGCTTCTCTGACTCTTGCGTCCTTGCCCACCCGGAGGGGCAGAGTGCTTGGATGGCAGTGGGTGAAGCCCGCCCACATGGACGGGGACAAGGTGGGGCACAGCCTCCACGTCAGTAAGTCTGTTTCTCCTCTACAGGGCCGACAGGCCAACCCCACTGGGCAGCAAGGGCCAGCCACGAGGACCGGGTAATTACTTACTTTGGATTTTTGTTGGCCCGCGTTTGCAGTACGTGACGATTGGTCCTTGAGGGGAGTTGGTACACACACACGAGCATCTTAATTCTTCTTACTGCGCCTCCCATTCTCCTCACCTCTTGGCCCCCTTCCCCTTTGACAAAGATCTCTCTCCGTTTCCCATGACCTACCTTCTAGTTTGCCCCTTACTCACCTGCTGTGGGGCTGGGTTTGCTTCTGCGCAGTCTGTGGGGCAGATTCCAGGCAGGAGCTCAGCCCTGCAGCCGTCCACCTCTTTGGGGCCTGGGCTGCTGCTCTGAGCATCAGGTCTTGGGGCTCCTCTTCGCTGCAGCCCCGCTTGCATTCCCACTTGGCTCCCGTGGTCACTGTTTCCGTCTGGGTACGAGCAATGGGGCATCTGGTACAGGGCCCCTCTTTGGGCCTAATGCAGTGGTTCTCTCTGGAACAGAAGCTGCGGGTGCCCTGTCCAATGCTGCAGGCCTGCAGCCACCCGCGCCCATGCCCAGGAAGTCTCAGGTGGTGAGTAGATGACTGCTCTCCTGCCCTGGCTGTACCATAGCCATCCACGCCTGGTCCTTCCACTTCCCTGGTTGGTCAGGGGCACTGGGGCTCCCTACTGCCACCAGCAGCCAGCTGAGAGCCCGCTGCTTCATTCCCGGCCCCATCCAGGGTGGTTCCTGGGCTGGGGCTCCCCCTTCCGCTCCCTTACCCTGAGCTGCGCCGAGCTGCTCTCCTTGAGCTCTGTGGGCTCCCAGGCTTGGGTGGGACCCGAGACCAGTGGGGGATAGGGGCCTCTGCTCAGGGTTCCCGCCTCACCGGCCTCCGTCCCCATCCTGCACAGACCAAGTTGAAGCCCAAGCGGGTCAAAGCACTCTATAACTGTGTGGCCGACAACCCAGACGAGCTGACTTTCTCTGAGGGGGACGTGATCATCGTGGATGGCGAGGAGGACCAGGAGTGGTGGGTGAGTCTGGTGGGACCTGGCTGCATTCGCCTCGAGCCAGCAGCCACCCCCCTGCCAGCACTGCCTGCGCTGCCTGTCCCGGCGCCCCCAGATGTCCTGTGTGGGTGCCACCCTGAGGACCCTGAGGCAAGACCCTGAACCTCAGGGCCCTGGGTTTCTTGGCCTGGCCCTGTGGCTGGATTAGGGGTGTGAGAGAGCACCACCATCCGGGGCTCAGGTGCCAGGAGGGACATGGGGCTCCCCCCAGGGCCCTGGGCTTTCAGCCTCCGCCGCTCATGGGCAGGGACCATGGCAAGGGCTCGGCTCTGTCTGTGTGCTTGGGTGTCACTGTCCTCAGTCCCCGGCCCCAGCAGAGCCCCACTGTGTTCCAGCCTCCAGGGGCTGCAGCTGAAATGCCATCTTTCTTGGGGGTGAAAAAGCATCCAGCTGTCAGCCAAGGCTCCCTCCCCGCCAGCCTACTGAGCATGGGAAGCAACAGGGGAGATTCCCCTGAACACCTCTTCCCTCCACCAGATGCTCCAGGCCCGAGCTCAATGCTGGGAGTCTTCGTAACCCTGAGCTTCTGTTGTTGCAGATCGGCCACATTGACGGAGACCCCAGCCGCAAGGGAGCCTTCCCTGTGTCGTTCGTGCACTTTATTGCTGACTAAGTCACCAAACACAAGCCCTTTTCAGCTGTTCCATTCTGGGCTCATCATTGGTACCAAAATTCTCACCAGATCACCACCCTCGATGATCATGCCGTACGGTAGCCTGTTCTCTGTCCTACCAGTGTTTGGTTTTAAAAACTCAAAGGCAGTTTTTACATAAAAGCAAATTGTTTCTATAATTTGCAGTTTTCGTGAAATATTGCTCTACTTTTATTAGGAAAAACTGAATTTCCTAAGGTGAACTGAAAAGTTATTTTAACTATATAACCAAGATCCTGCATTTACAGAATTAGCTAACCTTAAAAGTGTTGAAATGAAGACTCTTAGAAATTCTTCCTGCTTTTCTTGGTTCGATTCTGGAGTTAACTATTTTAGGAAGCCAGTAAACTGCCACTCTAAAAATCCACAGCCAGCCATGCATGGTGGTGCACGCCTGTCATCCCAGCACTCTGGGAGGCTGAAGCAGCAGGATCCCAAGTTTGTCCCCAGCCTGGGCAACTTAGCCACTTAGCAAGACAAAAGACCCTGAGTTCAATCTCAAGTATGGGGGTGGGGGTTAAAAATATTTTATGGCACATGAGAATTACGTGAAATTCACATTACACTGCCCATCAGTAAGGCTTTGTGTCCACAGTCAGGCCCAGGATTTCTCCATCAGTTCACCTTTAAAGACACATACGCCCTGGAAACTCACCCAGCGTATTTAAAGCAGCTTGGGGATTTGCACCTCACTAGCCTTGTCCTGTGTCCTGTCCTGCATGTGTGTGACCTGTGTCGGGAACAGTCAAGCTCAACCAGGCTTACGGTGGCCCATGACAACATATGGAAATAGCAGTCCATTCCTTCCAGAAACCGCAGGTGATGGACTGCAAAACAGCTCCCTAACCCAGTTGATGCGCCTTTGGTGTTTTGGCGTTTGCCTTCTCGTTTCCCCATGACACAGAAAGCAGCTGTGTTCCCTCTGGTTCCTGTTGTGTGTGCCACTCACTGCCCTTTCTGTCCCGAGGACGTGCCCAGCTTAGCATGTCATATCTATAGAATATGCCAACAGAATGGTCGCTCCACTGTCTTGACATTTATCTGTCCATGTGTACTCCAGAACCATCAGGAACCTAGGTCCTGGGGAATGCAATGCTCCCGCGTACCCGTCTTCCTGCTTGAGGCCATCGATGTCACTGAACCTTACACTACTGGGGGAGGGGTGGGGATTAGGTTGTATGTGAGAAAATCCAAACTCATCAGCGTAACGAACCTGACTCATACCTCTACCTAGTAATTATGGGCATAGATTCACAGTAAGAGATTGGAAATCTTGGCACTCTTTCAGAATAAACAGGCAAGTGATACCCACTTGGAATTTTGAATGAAAATAAAGGAATAATGTAAGTGTAGGCTTGGAAAGCAAGCAGACAGTGCTGTACCACATGATGCTGTGCCATTCGTTGGGATGGCACATTTGATCGAAGCAGCTTGTCTTCATGATGCAAGACTCTCATAACTGTGGAGCTTTTAAAAATTTTTTTGTCACTGTATTTTTGTTCACTCTGATAAAGGAAGACAGAACAAACTGGAATGTCTTATGATGCTGGCTAGCCAGCCATTGCTTTTTGCCTTTCAGCGTTCCAGGTAAATGTGTTAGATCTGTAATTACAGTCTATTTCTTAAGCACTACATCTAACTTCACTCCTGTTACTTTCTGCTGTTTGAACCCTCTGCTGAGTCATTTTCTCAGATCTGAGTGTGAGTGCACAGATTCCGCATGGCGCATGGCTGCCCGCGTCTGTGACACCTGGTGCCAGGGATCTGAGGAATTGAGCTGATTCACATTAACACTTGAACTCCAGCCCCAAATTAATCTACCAGGCCCACTGGTACAGAAACACCTGGGAAATATTTTCCCAGTCTGCAATTCAGTGGTGCTATCGTGCAGCCATGAATAGTCCTCTTGCCCGAGGAGAAATTCTATTCACTTCCCCACAGATGTCTTTTCCTAGTTATTTGCTCTTCAGAAAAGGAAAAAAAAAAAAAAAGCAAACCTGAGAGGAAGGAGAACATTGTAGATATCTATTTATATTTAAAGTTTACATTTCATGAGCTTCAGCTGCAGGACTCTGGCATTTCTGCGTGCCAGTTTCCACCAGATCTGATGCAGAAGGCTGGCGCTCAGCTATGCGCGCCTGGGATGATGCTGTTTAGATGTATTATATTCAGTCCACTCACTTGATCACTTCGGTCTAGGTGCAGCGCAACTGTATATATTGTATAACGGAAATTGATTCTTATTTTCATTGTTCTTATGGCAGTGATTTATAATTAGAGCATGTTTAATAAAGTTTACTCTCCTTGTTAACTAGTCATTTGACTAGAAAAATAAAATACTTTTAAATGGACATGGTTTTATTTTTAATGTTTTGAATCTTTAAAGTACTGACATCCTTTCTTTAAAATACACTAGCATGCTATCCATGAGATCCTTTAAATGCTACTGATTTTTAGCATGAGTGGTAATCTTCTAAGGTTCTTTTAACTCTGGGATAAACACTGGGGTTTTCTAACCTGTGATCTTGATTGTGCACTTTGAAAATTCCCTTCTGTGCCTCAAGTCGATGACGTCACTTGCTGAGCACCTCCACCTGCGGGCCAGGGATGCTGTGTCCTGGGAGGCCACATGGGCGGGCTTCATTGTCCTCCAGTGATTAGAGTGAACTTCTGTGGCACTTACTTGCATTTTAACATGAGGGTTTCTTTTTATCCCAAAAAAGTCCACTGAGAGTTAACTCACTATGTATACGTTTTAATACGATAAGAAATGGCCAGTATTTCATACATTGCACTTCCTTCAGAGGATCGGAGCAGGGCGTCCCTTCCTGTTTCCCCAAGAGTTCAGTGTCACAAACAGAATGATTTAGAAAACAGCTGGACACTCAGTGAGATCGGCTCCCGCCTGGCTGCAGAGTTCAGGACTTCTCGGAGGTCAGCACAGAGTCAAAAGCGGTGGATAAAACCTTGCAGATGGCTTGTGCTTGCTCCTGTGTCAGGAGGAAAGAGCGGAAGCGGCTGGCAGCACCTCCTTCTGGACCTCCTGTGACCAGCACCCTAATACCCCACACACCGTGCGGGAGCTCCCTGGCCCACCTGAGGTGGTGTGGATGCCTAGCACCCTGGCCTGCAGGAGGCTGAGGAGCCGTGCTGTCGCCACCCAGCGACCCCGGGGCCCCCAGTGTACCCAAGCCTCACCAGGCTGCTGCACTGGTAAACCCACAGGCTGTACTCCTTGTCGCTGGCGTCGGTGGTCTTGAGCGCCAGTGAGCTTTTCCCCGCGCCCAGGCCATCGTCGTAGCACACCATGCGGATGATCAGGTGCAGAGCGTGCCGATGCAGCACGTCCTGCAGAAACCGGGGCACCACGTTCCACACCACTCCCCATCCTCCGTGTGCTCTGACCGGCTGTCATGATGCACACCTGCAATCCCGGTGCTAAGGGAGGCTGAGGCAGGGGGATCACAAGTTTGGAGTCCCACCTGGGTAACTCAGACCCCGTTAGGGATGTAGCTCAGTGGCACAGCACCACAAGGAAAAAGTATCGTGAGACAAACCAGGATGCCCACGGATCTGGCAGAGTGGGTTGCAAAGTCTCTCACCCCAGGAGCTGTCTGGGTGTGCTCAGTGATGGGGCACCGTGGCTTCCGGATGACACGAGGACAGGAAGAGGGGACGTGACTGGATGCTCATCTTTGTCACCTTCCAAGATGACAGCTTGCTTTGTTTTGTTTTTGTGGTACTAGGGATGGAAGCCAGGGCCTTGTGCTTGCTAGACAAGGACTGCACCACTCAGCTCTGCCCAGCCCTTTTTTATGTGAGACAGGGTCTCACTACATAGCTAGGCTGGCATCAAACTTGTGACCCTCCTGCCTCAGCCTCCCAGGTAGCTGGGGTTACAAGCATGGGCCCCTGGAGCTGGCGGTGGGGGCGAGGTGCTGAGTGTGGACTGGATATGTTCACCCCAAGACACTGGCCGTGTTCTAGACCAGCTAGTAGCCAACTGCTGCAAACAGGAGGCCTAACAACAAGTAAGCCCTTCCAGGCCGGAATGCCCCACTTCCTACAACAGAGTAAGTTACATTACTTACATATTGATCCAACGTTGATACTTTTATGCCATACTTGGAAACTCCCATGATGTATTCTTCCTCCAGTGGAACAAAAGGCAACTTTCCGTCTTGCTTTAAAGTAAAAATAGATTACATGATGTACATTAAAATTCTGTTACAGTCTCTCATCTGATTAGTCCCTTCCAGTATCTGCTCCTTACAATCCCACACATGTCAGAGAATGTGGGTACATATTAGCCCAGCAAGATTTCTCCCAAGGGGCATTAGGAAAACTCATTATTTATTTATTTATTTATATTTTTGGTACCAGGGATCAAACTCAGGACCTTGTGCTTGAGAGGCAGGCAGGGTGCCACTGAGCTAAATCCCGGCCCTAGGAAAACACCATTTTAAAAAATTTTACAGCCTACAAATCTGAGCAGAATTGACATCTGTCTACTATTTTTTTTTTTTTTTGAGACAGTGTGGCTATGTAATTCAGTCTGGCCTTGAACTTGTGGCAGTCCTCCTGCCTAGCCTCCCAAGTGCTGGGATTACAGCCAACAAGCCACCACACCCAGCTTGACATTAGAGTACTTTTGCATATTATTCTATTTCATGGTGTGAGCCCTAATTCCAAATTGAGGAACCTCTCACAGAGCTCTTACTTGAATAAAGGTCTCTATTGAGATTTTATTTTTTGGTTTTGTTTTTTTGGTACCAGGGATCAAACTTGGGTCCTTCCGCTTGCGAGGCAGGCAGCAGAACCACTGAGCCAAATTCCCGGCTCAAGATTTTAAAGTATAGTACTTAAAGTGTCAGGACCTGAAATGATCAGGAACCTTGGCCCCTGGAACTGTGTTTCTGAGTCATCTTCCATCCAACCGAGAAGGAGAGGTGTGTTTGGTGGTTCCCATGCCCAGGGCTCGGGGCAGGTGGCTGCTGAGCAACAGGTCCTTGGTTTACAAGAACATCAGGCAGCATCCTGAACTGTTCGCAAACAAATCAGCACATGACAGCTGGTGGATTCCCTAGCAGGTTACCTGGCTTTCCTAAGACAAAATGCAACCTTATTTGTCTTTAAAATGCATTAAGATACTGGTGACAGCAGTAGATGGCCCATGTTGGAAATGTTTTTCTGGAATAATGAATTATAGGAAATGAACTCTGTTCAAATACCTTAACCCTTGGATCCTTACCATATTATAGTAACTTCTTGCTAATCATTTCTCACAGATTTAATACAATGTCAAAAATCAAAATCGAGGATAATAGTAACTGCTATCCTATTGTCAGTAATGGCATTTTAACAAGCAAAAATTCTATGGCAAGATGAGGAACACATGTCTTAGAAATGAAGATAATCCTGTGTAGTCTGAGGGAAAACAGCAATCTTCTGTTTACTGCTTCACTTAGATTAAACTGGTTGCTTCTACTTGGTTGAAACGACTTATTCCCGACTAAGTGCTGGGATAACTAATTAGAATAAACAGACCAGACCACAAAATTCTGTTACATGGAAAATTAGATTTGCTGATTTCCCCCAGACAGAAGTAACTTCCTTTTCTTTCATGAAGATATGAATCACATTTGATACTCCATTCTCCATGATCAGAGATTGTATGTTCTTACGAGTGACCATGGATGTCTCCTTCCCTCACTTCCACTGGAGATAAGTGTACAAATCTTATTTTATGCACTGACTTTATAGTTTTGTTGTATCTTAATTTTCATTCTGAATTTCCCTGCATCATGATGTTTTTTTATTTTCTTGACCTGGATAGATTTCTGAAACCCACCTCCCCTCGATTCTTAACTGGAGACAGGGTTAGTGAGTAGATGTGTTGGGTCAACATTGCTATGAATTAGTTTTCAACAGGATGAACAGTTAACTGAGCTACAGTAAGGCTCTGCCTGATTGTCTTAAAGAAAAACCACGATTAGGCCAGGGATTTAGAGCAGTGGTTTCACCTCGCAAGTGCAAGGGCCCAAGTTCGATATCTGGTACCAAAAAAAATGCCCCCCCCAAAAAACCCCAAAAAACCACAATCACTTCCTATTTAAACAAGGATGTCAGTCAGCCCCGTAAAAATCAGAAGTTCTGTGTGTGGAAAAACAAACACCATTGGTTCTTACACAAATCAAGGTCGAAGGCACCTGGAACAGCCAAGACCACAGGACTTCAGGTTAACACAGTGAGACAGTGCCTTCCAGTGGCCACCAGGAGTAAATCTCCAACGCCTGTGTGTTTAGTCTCCTAACCACAGGCTTTATTTTGTTTTGTTTTGTTTTTGATACCAAGGATCAAACTTGGGACCTTGCACTTGTGAAGCAGGAGCCAGAACCACTGAGCTAAATCCCCGGCCCAAGAGGCTTTAAATTGAAATCTTTTAAAACATTTTCTTACCTGGGCAACATCTATATAATTTATCAGATCTAGTGGTCCTTCTAGACTTTTTCCCTCAGAGAGTTTCAGCTTCTCAATGGCACCAACATACTTTATTCGAAATTCTGCACAGGTATCTGAATTATTGTTGCTTTGTCCTAAAGGGGAAGGAAAACTTGTCATAGACTTCAAAAGAAATGCTGTCCTCAGGCCTATCCCAAATGAAAGCAGACTCTGTCATTAGAATATGATTTTAAATATTTTTCGGTACTGAGGATTGAATCCAGGGTTTTCTATTGAGTTACACCCCTACCTTGCTCCTTTTTTTATTTTGAGACAGGGTTTCGTTAAGTCCCTAAGCTGCCCCGGCTAAACTCAAACTTGCCATCCTGCCTTAGCCTCCTGAGTGCTGGGATCACAGGCGTGCACCACCACACCCAGTACCATTATATTTTTAATATCGATGGTCCAATGCCAGAGAGAAAGTCCCTGTCTGCTATAAAATCTAGCCAACACAAAAATGACCACAAATGATTTACGATATCTACCACACTAAGGAAATACTATGTGACTGCTTTTAAGAAGTATTTATGAAATAAAAAGATCCCACCATTTTCAAGATCTTAAAGGCACCTGGAAGTAAAGACAATGGACTTTATAACATTCTTTTTTATAGATTGCTTAGTCTGGGATCCTATTCTAGGGGAGAAAATGAATACAGTATGTTCCCAGTAAGTCACCAGCTATTTATGCAGTTTGGCTAGAAGCTGCCTTTGATTTCTAACGTGTGACTAATTCTGCTGGTCACAATCACTTTGCAAGGGTCTGGCACATGCTACCTGCTACCCTTAATCACTGTTTCTCCTGACAGCCCTCAAGGTTCACGGCCCCTTAACCCTTTAATCACCAACACAGTATCCAGTTCCCAAAGATAGCAGAAGTCCAGTGTGATTCAGGCTCTGCCACCCAATATCCTCTTTTTTTTCCGGTATCAGGAATTGAACTCAGGACCTTATGCTTGACAGGCAGGCGGGATGCTGCTGAGCCACATCCCCAGCCCTACCCAATTTCTATTTGGAAACCTCCCAAGGGATTGGCACATGGTGTCTTTTGCTCTAGGACTCACCAAGAAGCCACTTGCCTAAGCTGTGCTCCAAGGTGACTTTTCCCTATTTCCCCTTGTTGCCACATTTTAGCCATTTCTGAACTTTCAGAGGTGACCAGAGGGGCCACAGGACTCACGACACACCGTGAGGCAAAGCTACACAAGCGCAGGACCTGACCAAGCTGTCTACGTACCTGAGCTCTTGGTAGAGTCTGTGTCGAGGCTGGCCACAGTGCTGGACCGCGAGAGACCCCCAAGGCTGGAATCGACAGACTGAGAAACAGACCAACACAAAAGCCACACAGTCAGAAGTCCTGTCTGCTCTCAAGTTTGCCACCAAACACATTGAAATTACTTACTAAGTTGAGCTGACACGTATCGATTCAGGTCAATTATTCAGGAACAGGGAGACCAACAGGTTTTTCTAAAGATATACTCTACAGCAAACTTCAAAGAAAATACTGTAGCTGGGTGTGGTGGCGCATGCCTGTAACCCCAGTACTTGGGAGGCTGAGGCAGGAGGATTGCCTCGAGTTCAAGGCCAGCCTGAACTACATAAGCAAGACCCTGCCTCAACTCCTCCGATAAAAAACAAAACACACAACAAAACATACTCCCAACTGCACTTCCTGTCACACAACATTGTCACCCCAAGCCATTACCTCTTGCACCTCACAAAATGCCTTATTTATATTCTCTGTGGAAATCTACACTGTGCTTTCAGATTATTTCCACAGAATCCAAAATGAATCCTATGCAGAAAGCCAGGCAGGGAGTAATACCCGTTTAATAAAAGACCAGAGGCAAAGTGATGGGTCCCAGTCATGTAGCGAACCACTGGGACTTATGAAATCCACTTTCACCCCAGTGCTCTGCGGTGACACCCACGGTACCCGGCCCACGGCAGGCAGGCCACAGTGCAACTGTCAGGCCAAGCTTTTAAAAACCACATCAGAAAGTAGTTTGTCCTCTAGAACTACACTACTGGCAGTTTTCTTAGAAATAACGTTCTGTGAATGTCTGATTAGAAAGTTTGCTTTGCCTATGTTAAATCCATGCATTCCTTCCAATGGCATCCACAATCCTCTGGTACACAGGCATTAGCCAGCCTCACGGGGGAGTAAATGATACACACACGGCAACTCCACAATGCACAAGATGCAGCCCCTTAGCATCTTCAGTTTCCATCCTTTCAAAATTTTAAAAATCTGTATTGATTTTGATAAGAACATGCATGTTTAATGATTTAAGAATTTCAAAAAAATCAAAACAGAGTAAAACCAAAGCGAGTATCTGTAGTGTAAACGATCAGCCTTAAGACCCAGGCAGCTTGGATCACGGGGTGACAGGACCCGGTTGGCCTGCACCATGCAGCACCAGGTGAATGGTTCTCCCTACCTTGCTCTTCGTGCTGATCTCACTACTTTGGGAACTGCTACTACTGTGTCGCTTTTTGCCTTTCCGGAACATTTTTCACCATAGCATGATCCAGGGAAGATCTCCTAGAAGAAGAAGGGTCAGTTATGCTGACATCCAGAAGCCCAGCATCAAAGCCGGGTGTGGTGGTGCACGCCTGTCATCCCAGCACTCTGGGAGGCTGAGGCAGGAGGATGACAAGTTTCAGCCCAGCCTGGGCAACTTAGCAACTTAATGAGATCCAGTCTCAAAAAAATCAAGGCTAGGAATAATGGCTCTGAGCTCAATCCCAAGTGTATTCCTTTTACTTAAAACATAAACATTTGCCCTTGGCTACTATTCTTTTCTTTTTTGGTACTGGAGATCGAACTCAGGACCTTGCACTTGTCAGGCAGGCGAGGCACCGCTGAGCTAAATCCCCAGCCCCCGGGTACTATTCTTTTCAATTCTTTTTTCTTATTACAGAAAGCTGAGCTGGGCTGGAGCTCTTGGTAGAGTGCTTATATAACATATGCAAGGTCCCAGCATCACGTAAAAAAATTTGCAAAAGCTAACCCAACAAAACAAAAGGGCATAAGCCATGTTCTAGATAGAGGTGGGCGAAGCACTTCACTCCTCACTAGCAGACGCATGTCACCTGGCTCCCAAGAGATCCAGATCCCTGCCTTCTCCAGCTGATCCAGGGTTGGAGCTGATTACAGGATGCGTCCGTTTACCAACTGAGCCCCTGCAACTCAGCTCCCATCTCCCATTCTGTCCTAGGCAGGTGGGAAGTGGAGGCCGTGCCCCTCCCAGACACCTGTGCGCTCAGCTCCTTAACTCCCAGAGGTGCTTTACCTGAAAGCTGCCATAAGGACCTTCCAGGGGGGCAGCAAGGCCAGGAGGGAGGAGATTTCAGTGTCTGTCTTCACGGATCTACTTTTTAATAATCAGTCCCTGGGAACCATGAGACTCAAGTGTACATTCTTATCCTTGGACAGTTAACCTGAAGGGTATACAGCTCACAGAGCTTCCAAATAAACTCATTTTATCTTCACATATTTAGCCTGTGACATATTCATTTGCTCCACAGATTTTAGGTTTTTTTATTTTTTTGAGACAGGGTCTCACTATGTAGCCCAGGCTGGCCTTGAACTCACAGCAATCTTCCTGCCTCAGCCTCCCAAGGACTGGAATCACAGGCACGTGCCACCACACCTGCATCACTCCACATATTGTACCTTTTTTTTTTTGAGGGACTGGGGATTGAACCCAGAGCCTTCACACTGAGCTACAACCCCAGGCCTCCCCCGCTTTCTTTAATTTTGAGACAGGGTATCACCAAGTTGCTAAAATCCCCAAGCAGACCTTAAACTTAAGATCTTCCTGCCCCAGCCTCTGAGAATGCTGGAGTTACAGGCATGCACCACCATGCCAAGTGCTCCACAGATGTTTTTCAGGGGCCTTCTGTGTGCCACAGACTGAGCTTTGGCTCTGGGCCAAGCCCTCATGGGCTTCAGAAAGGTGGGTAATCATCCGCACTTTACAGGGGACCCTGCCTGTGACCCAGAGAGAACATGAAGAAGGCAGTGGACCTCTCCAGAGGGAATGGAAATGCACTCACTCCACGCGGACGCTGAGTCTCACGGCTCCCAAAGGGTCTGTGGAGAGCAGCCCCACGCAGGTCCCCTTCACCCTGACATGGTCAGTTCTTTCCGGGGGACAGCGTGCCTGGTGAAGGAGAGACAGTGAGCACTGGGGCCGTCCGTCCCTGAAAGGCCTGGTCCCACTCCAGCTTTTTCTCTTAGCTAGGTACAATAGCACCCACCTCTGATCCCAGCACTCTGGGAAGCCGAGGCAGGAGGATCAATCGCCAAGTTTGACCACAGCCTGGACAACTTAGCAAGACCCTGTCTCTAAGTTAAAAAAACAAAAAAGCTGGGCATGGAGCTCAGTGCAAAGCCCTGGTTCAATTCCTTCTGTTCAGGGGAACACAAAGTTTCTCTCTGTACTTGTAGATGTCACTCTGCGCCCACTTAGTTCCACCTGCTGTGTCTGACCCCTGAGCCAAAGCTCTTTGCCAGCTGCACCATCCCATTTCTTTCGTATTTTTGCTTTATCTGTGGAGCAGCAAAAAGAGCTGACTCATCCCTCATTCCTAAGGGGTCAGGGAGCACCTCATACGTGCTGGTGGCAAGTCTTCGAGAAAAGCCAAAGGCCCTAACCTCAAGGGACAGAGTACTGGAGGAAGGTGATGGGCCAAGAAGAAAATGCATACAGCCAGGTATGAGGGCCCATACCCATAATCCCAGCACCTGGGAGGCTGAGGCAGGAGGATCACCAGGAGTTGAAGGCCAGCCTGGGCCACATAGTGGGTTCAAGGCCGGCCTGGAATACATAGCAAGATCCTCCTTCAAATAAACAAAAATGTTGGTGTACAACATATTGAACACATTATATTAAAGAACAGACCTTGGACTGTGCAAGGAAATTAGGCCAGGACCCCTGTGAATGCCAAAATCCTGTAAGGCTCAAGTCACTTCTATAAAGCAATGTATTTGCATATAAGCTAGACACATCCCCACTTAGACTGCAGTCACCTCTAACTTAGGTATCACACTTACTACAACACAAATGCCAAGGAGGGAGCTGCTACCCTGCATTGTTTAGGAAACAATGACAAGGACCAGTACCACACAACTCTTTTGACTATTTTCAATCTAGGGTTTATTAAGTTTGAGGATGTGAACCTCATAGATAGGGAGAGCTGACTATGTATATAAATGCATTATTTATATACATAATGATTTTAAGTGACTTAAAAATAAAATCTGATTCTATTGTTAGTGAAATCCAGAACCATCTTCTTAAGTCCCTAGAACACAGGAATGATTAGAAAAATCACAGCTCTAATGCCTTTGTAACTTTTGAGGTGGTGGGGACTGAACCCATGCAAGGCAAACTCCCTACCACTGAGCCACACCCCCTAGCCCTTCTTTTTAATTTTGAGACAGGGTCTCACCAGGCTGGTTTTGAAATTGTGATCCACCTGCCTCAGCCTCCTGAGTATCTGAGAGAATGTATAGGAATAAGCCACCACACTTGGCTTTTTGCAACTTCTTTACACATCAATCCAGGGGCTCAGAGAAAAGAGATTCTATTAAAGCTTCTGATATCTGCTCCTATTTTGATATATGTTCTCCAGCAAATCATTCTTGCCTCTAAATTAGTGCACGTAAATGAGTCCAAGGGTACTGACTGTCACTTGGATGTTCCACAAGCTCATCAAATGCAGAAATGCCGAACACACCCTCCAGATCTGCTCCTCCCTCTGCTCTCCCACTCCAGAAATCCTAGTATTGCCATAGAACCAGGAAATCATCACCCCTCACCGTCCTCCAGCCCCCACATGGGATCAAACAACCGAGATCCCCTGACTGCACCTGCAGGCTGCTCTAATCCAGCCCCCGGCCCGAGTCTCACTGTGTAGTTCAGGCTGGCCTGGAACTCATGCGGTCTTCCTGCCTGGGGCTGGGATGATAAGCGTGCACCATCTTGGACCTCCAGGTCGGGCTGAGGGACCCAGAGCTTGGTCCTGGTCACCGCATGACAATGTGCTATTTCTGCTTACAGCTTTGTCACTCTCCAGCCTGTCCAAGGTGGGGCTGGTTTATTCTCCCCGGGCCCACTGCACTCAGCACGGTGGCTCCCGAGGACGTCTTGGGAGGTGACAACCACATGACTCCTAGCACTGATCACCTAGCAGGTGCCATGCGCAGCGCCTGGACCACAGAAACTGCTGACCCTAACTCGGATCCGCGAGTCTGAAGCAGGACAGCCACGCTCAAACGAGGTCCCCAAGGCGCCCCAGAGGCAGGAGCGAGCCCAAGGTCACCACCAGGTTAGGGACAGATGGCCGGGTTTGGGACCTGGACCGATACCCGCCTGCTCGCACGTGCGTGGCGCTGTGCGGAGAATGCGACAGCAAATGACACAACCCTGCCCCACGACCAGGGGACGGGGAGGGAGCTCAGCTTCGGCCTGCTCCCCAGCGGACAGATTACCGGCCCGGGGACCCCCGCACCACGTTTCTGGGCCCGCTCGCCGGGACCTAGGGACAAGACGGTCCCCGACACCCGGCGTCCCCCAGCCCCACCCATCCGTCCCGGCGGCTAGCGCCGCCCTGGGCCGGCGCATCCGCCCGCGCCGCAGCCCGGGTGCAGTCAGGCCAGGGCTCTCACCTGGCGGCCGCGTCCCTGGGGCCACCTGCACTTCCTCTGCCGGGAGTCCCAGCGCTGGGTGGCCGGCGCCCGCGCAGCTACTCCAGGTTAAATCCAGCTCCAGCTTTTCCAGTCCTCCAGCCCGTGTCCGCCAAGGCTACGCCCTCTAGGCTGTGCGCGTGCGCAATCTTCAGGGCCCGCCTAGGTTTCCGGACTTGGTGTGGCGCGGAACTTCTCGAGCGGGGTTCTCCAACCGGAAATCTGGGGGAGGAGCTTAGTGCCGTGGGCGCCAGGGTACCGGAAGTTGTCTCGGCGGATGGAGGATTTTCTTGCTTTGCTTGCTGCTGGTTCTTTCCAAGTTAGATTCCAGTGTGCTCCTCACCCAGACTTCCCAGGCTTCCAGAATGTCTGCGATTCCTGCAGAAGAGAGTGACCAGTTGCTGATCCGACCCCTGTAAGGGACCAGCGCGCAGGGAGTGGGGCCGCAGACTGCGGAGAGCCAGGAGGGGTCGTGGGCGAGCCTGGCCTGGCCGTTGTCCTGCTCCCTCGTGCAGCTGTGGCGGGACCTTTCGGGCCTGGAGGTTTGGCGAACTGGTCGGAAGGGGCTGCTAGGTTGAAAGGGATTGTGCTTTTTCTTGGGTCTCAGGGGAGGGTATGTTGGAGCGGGAAAAAGTTATTTTGGGCCGCTGGGCCCCTTCCCATGAAAAGGGGCATCAGGTGGCACAAACCCGGATCGCGCACATCAGAGCAGGCGAGGAAATCGACGAGTGAAAGGGGAAGCGGGATCTGTTTCCTGTCATTTTCAGGACCCAACCTGTGTCGCCATGGGAGGAAGTCAGTCAGAGACTTGGAGTGAATTTCTACCTTCGCTGCTCAAACCTTAGTAGAATAAGGGGGAAAGCTGGAGAGGAGAAAGAGCAGAGGTGTTAAGAACCCAAACATAACCCTACATTGCCTCTAAGGAGACCCGCCCTTCAATGGAGATAGCCTTTCACCTCCTGGGAGTGTAAACGCGGAGAATTTATTCCTATAGATGAGCCATTTTCATCCATAGACATGTTTTATTGTTAGATATTAATATCATGTCAGTGTGCATTCATCACAAGACAGAAACTAAGCTGGCTGTGGTGGCCCACGCCTGTGATCCTAGCAGTCTGGGAGGGTGAAGCAGGAGGGTGGCAAATTCCAGCCCCGCCTGGGCAACCTAGCAAGACGGTGTCAAGATACAACTTTTTAAAAGGGCTAGGGATGTAGCTCGGTGAGAAGCCCCTGGGTTCAATCCCCTGTACTGTGAAATAAAAAAGTAGAAAGTGTCTCTTTTCCACATTCATTCAATAAGGATTCTGTGGGCACCTACTGGAACATAGCCCAGTTTCCTTGTGCTTAGTTTGCACCTGTTGTCTCTTCCAATGTTCTGTAAACTCTGAGCAAGTGTCCAGCCCTGCCTCAGTCACTGGGGAGACAGATAACACCGAGGACCAAGTTCATTGATTTCACCCTTTTGGAGGCAACACAGTGCAAAATGGAAAGAGGAGAGTTTGGAAAAATAGGAGACAATTGCTTTGGAGTCAGACACCAAGGACAGCAACCCCACTGAACCTCTTTTCTCATGTGGGGATAACTTGTAAGGAGTAAAGACCATGTAGGTGCTCAGTAGATAATGGCTGTTCCAAGAATGTTTTATTTGTTTTTTGAGACAGGGCCTCAGCCCAGGCTGGCCCTCAACTTGCCCCCAATCCTCCTGCCTCAGCCTCCCGAGTGCTGAGATGACAGGCATGCACCACCACTCCTGATGGAAAAGGAATTTCCAACAGATTGAAGAGGAGGACACCTCATGCACCCAGGAAAATGATATGTGAGCTAAGTCCTAAGGGACAGGTAGAAAGCCAGGCAGAGAGGGGCATGTGTGAAAGTGTTCATAGCTCACAACCAGTTTCTTTGTGGCTGTGGCTGACAGGTTAGCAGATGGGGTGGGACATAGTATCGGGTCAATTTATGAGGGACCTCAATACATATTAAAGAATTTGGGCTTTTCACATAGTTACAGGAAGCCAACAAAAGATTTTGAGCAACGCTGAGATGCAGTGGCCGTTACACTTTTAGGAAGCTCAGTCCTTGCAGAAGTGTAGGTGAATGGAAGGATGGATTAGATGGAAGGAATCCAGAAGGGTAAGACCGAAATAATCCAAGTGTGAATGGAATCGAAACCCTTGGGATTTTATAATGGATCAGATACTATCTGAAGGGCTGGCATGGAACACAGGGCAGAGATTAGGATGATTCACATTCCTCCGTTGGGCAGTTTCCTCAGTGTTACTCACTCTTGGAGTACAGAAGCGCCTGGGGATGTTGGACAGGGGTAGCACCAGCCTGGCACGCACAAGGCCTGGGTTCCGTCTCCAGCACCACACAAAAAATGAAAGACACTGAGGAGGTCTGGGGTCAGTTTGCTTTTTTGGTTTCATAGCGTATCGTCTACTTAAAGTGTACAACTCAGTGGTTTTTGGTATATTTTCACAATTGTATAGCCATCTTTACTATCCAGTTCCAGAACATTTTCATCTTCCTCGGGCTAAAAAGAAACCCTGTACCCATTGAACCTCAAAGCACACTCATTTCTCCATCCTCCCCAGCCCTGGTAAACCACTGATCTATCTCTCCTCTCCACTTCCCTTTTTTGGACAGTTATATAGATGAGGTTGTGCAGTATGTAGTATTTTGTGTCTGGCTTCTTTCACATAGCCTCTTGTTTCCATGACTCATAATTTGGGAGTTTTATTCATTGATAAGCATCTTTTTTATTTTATTTATTTATGTTTGAGACAGAGTCTTGCTCTGCAGTTCAGGCTGACCTTGAACTCACTATGGAGCCCAGGCTGGCCTTGAACTCTGCAGTCCTGCCTCGGCTTCCTGAGTCTGGGATTAAGGGTATGTGCCACCACACATTTAAGCCATGTGAGGCCCTGTTGGGGTTACAGCAGTGAACAGGACTGACTCTTCCCATGCCCCTCCCAGCTTAGTACAGCGTGTCCTTGTTAGTGTTATGCCAGTCTGTGGCTTGCTGTAAAGGACACATTAGAGGAAGTAGTCCAGGGAAAGCCTCCAGGAAGGTGACATTTGAACTGAGACCCAAATATTATACCAAGGAGCCCACTTACGTCCGTCTCTGAGGGCAGAGGCCTTGTGAAGAGGAGTCGAGTCCAAGGGCCTGGGAGATTCCAGGGCAGACATCAGTGTCAGGTGTGTGTTCAAGGTCTGCAGCCCCGGCTACAGGGGCAGGTTTGGAAGGTAGGGAACTCGGGAATGAAGAGGGTGGCACTGAGAAGCCCCAGGGATGGAAGCCCTGGAGGAGTGGGGGAGACAAGGCTGTTCGAACCTCATGGGAGGACGGGAAAGAGACAGCATGAAGAGGTGTTAAGATCTAAGCTATTTGAATAGTAAATACTTTTCAGGGTCTTAAAGAAAGCAGTGGTTTGAAGTGGTTTGGCCCACATAGAAGTGTTTAACAACCAGCATAACTGCTAGCTTACATTCTCAGCACATCCTCATTTAATCCTGGTGTTCAGAAGATTGACTTTAGCCTCTGGGTTCCTCAGATCTGAACTGCTTTCTCTCACACTTTTTTTTTTAAGAGTTTTATTTCTAAATTTTTTTTTTTATGTACCGGGAATTTTTTTTTTTATGGTACCGGGAATCGAACTTGGGTCCTTGCGCTTACAGGGCAGGCGGTGGAATCACTGAGCTAAATCCCTGGCCCTCTCTCACACTTTTAACAACTACAAACTCCCTGAACCCCAAGGCTGTCTGTTCATCTTTTCCTGTGTTCACAGATTTCTTTCCTCTCTTCGTAATTTTGTAAATGTTTTTGATGAGTGCTGCCATCAGATAGGATGCAGTTTAAGTTGTAAAAAAAAAGTTTGAATTTATTGGGGTCAATTTGGATTGTTTTTTAATCAAATTTCTTTCTTTTAATATTTACAGTGGCGCTGGGCAGGAAGTAGGACGGTCATGCATTATCCTAGAGTTCAAAGGAAGAAAAATAATGGTAATCATCATCGTCACCACCATCATCGTTATTGGTCCCAGGCCTGGAACCCAAGGCCTGGAGCCACTAAGCTTGTCCTGTACCGTGGTCCACTGTTGAGGTTGACAGTACGGCTCTGCCCGTTGGGTGTCAGCTCTTCTGTAGTGGACCAGTTGTCAGTTTCGCTCCCAGAAAGATGTTCTACTGCATGCAGTCAGTGAGAAAAACTAATACACACTTCTACTTAGGAGTCTCTCAGAACATTAAGTCAGCCAGGAAGACGGGTGGATAATGTTGATAGTTTTACAGTCTGTCAACTAGAGCTCCTGAACTCTTGTTTCTCCGAAGTCCTTGGTTGACATCGGCTGCTCTGAGCCCATGTTCTTGCCTGAGAGGTTGAGGGATTAGCGGACATGGTTTCTTTTTTTTTTTTGCACTGCCAGGGATTGAACCCACGGCTTGCTAGGCAAGTGCTCTGCCCTGAGCTGCCTCCCCAGCCCCAGGAAGAGATGGTCTCTGAGGTGCATCCTGAAAAGACAGTGCCCATCGCCAGTTTCCTGTGCTTCCTGTCTCCTTTGCTACTTCTCCCAGTGCTAAAGAACAAGTATTTGTCAGGCACACTCATTGCTGGGAATTATTCCCTATAAAATAAGTGCATCTTTAATGCCAACCCTTAAGAACTTGTCCCCAAATGCCTTTCCTGTCAGGGAGGTGTCTGGTTTCTAGTTACTGTCTTCTCACAGTGGCCAGGTGTGGTGGTAGTAAATCTACATGTACAATTTTTAATTTTTTTTCCCAGTACTGGGAATCAAACTCAGGACCTCATGCCTGCAAGGCAGGCGCAGTGGCCCTGAGCTACATCCCCGGCCACATGTACACTTTTAAAGTCTCATCTTTGATATTAGAAACCATCTTCTGATATCAAAGTTCTTGAACAAGAGTTACTGTATTTTAGAGTGACCACCAAAAGTAGCTGGAAAGGTAGCTTGTATTTTGCATTCTGTGGCCCTAAGTGTGAGCTTCTTTTTTCCTCTTAGGATTTGTTTGTTTGTTTGTTTGTTTGTTTTTTGAGACAGGGTCTCACTATGTAGCTCAAGCTGGCCTTCAACTCACTGTGTAGCCCAGGCTGGCCTCAAACTTGTGGCAGTCCACCTGCCTCAGCCTCTGGAGTTCTAGGATTAGAGTCACATGCCCAGTTGGAGCTGTATTTTTAATTTGGGAAATAGGAATTGTTACTGTCACTATTGCCATGTTTAGTAAGAGTTGCGTCTCAGGTGCTCCTGTATGAAATCTTGTCTTGATTATGCAGGCGGTGGATCAGTTGCATTATTGTCTGTTTGCTGAGTGAATTTCCCTGAACCATGTAGAATACTGATCGTTTCCTCTCTCTCAGCTGGACTGTGGGATCCACCCTGGCCTGGAAGGAATGGATGCTCTTCCATACATCGATTTGATTGACCCTGCCGAGATTGATCTCCTGTTAATTAGTCAGTAAGTCCATTAGTTTTGTTGTTAAAGGAATGATAACATCAGTGTTTTGTTGTTTTTGTTTTTTGTTTTTTGTTTTTTTGGTACCGGGGATCGAACTTGGGTCCTTGCACTTGTGCAGCAGGCAGCAAAACCGCTAAGCTAAATCCCCGGCCCAACATCAGTGTTTTTCAGACTCCTACTGCTAAGATCATTCTTAACCAGATTTTGAGATTTTGGTCTTTTAAAAAAATATATTCTATGGGCCTTAGCTCAGTGGTTCCACTGCCTTCTTCACAAGTGCAAGGTCCCGAGTTTGATCCCCAGTACCAAAAAA